GTGTTAAAAATAAATATAGTTTCTTAAAATATAACTTGTTAGTCAATAGTTAAGGTGCTACGTCATTGTCTTCAGTTTAATTAGCTCTATAACATCAATACCGTAACATTTACATGACAGAAAGCGACCTCCACTGAGACCTGCCAAGAACATGAATTTATAAGAACTACGCACGGAAACTGAAATCTTGTGTTTAAAATGAGGAGAAAGAATTCGACAACCAAGAGCAATAGTGAGAAGAAAATCGAAGAATTGTATCGGGAAGCGTTACGTTCAGTCAAAGAGGGATGTCTCATTCAAAAGCAACCTAGTGAAGAACCTAGTGAAGAACTCCCAGTGAATGTCAAAAAACACAAGAATACTATAGATGCACAACTCGCTTTAGACCAAGCATTAAAAAGACAAGTTGAACGACGAAGACAAAGGAAGGTATTAAGCGTTCAAGTTTCTCCACTTTCTCCATTTTACTTCAAAACAGAGGGAAATCCTCGAACTGTTTCGCGCAGTTCGTCTGAGGGAGAGTCGAGTAGTTCGTGCAGCAGGGATTTTCTAAGCCATGAACCTGAAAATCATGTACGTACTATCGAAGAAACGTTACTTGTGTTGCCTCTGAGGACGACAGACGAGGACTCTAGCGTCTCAAATTCTTCACGCAAAACGCGTTCAGTTACAAGACAGATACCACCGATATATCGTACGCCACTCTGGCACGAAACAATTCGACTGCGTCGATGTGCGTCGATTCCACCGAGGGGAGAAACATGGAACGAACGAGGAAAGAACCCTCTTGCTATTTGGCGTGAAGAATTGCATTCAAGAAGCACAAAATCTAACAAGGACACCATGAGCTTAGCGGCAAAACGACTTGTGCATTCAGAACAAAGAGCTAAAAAGAGACCTTTTATGCATAATAAGTCGAGTTAGTTTATTGTAACGGTTCAATTTGATGTGTATATACAATTACGTTGTACAATAGCATTATTGACGAGCTACACTTGCTCAAAAGCTGTGATTTGAAGTTCATTCTTTTTGTGAAGTTTGCTCTTATACAACAAAATCTAAGTCAAATAGAACTTACGAAATTTACTTTACAAATTTAAGGCAAAAATGCCAAGACTGCTATAGCTATTATACAGGCTAGCAATTAATTTAGTAGCTAAAATCTAATCGCGATATATTATCTCATTGAACAATTCAATGGGAAACTGGCATTTTTCCGATATCTTAGGACTATATCTATACATATTAAAAAAACAACATTCAATTCCAAATTCGCCGGCAAGGCTTGTAGTCCTGAATTTAACTGTCAATCAAGTTGTAGTTGTCCACTTTAGGTATTTTTAGACGATTGAACTGGCTTGTTTATCGTTCTTAATTTTTCTGATTACATAACCATATTTAGATGTTGATGCAGAATTGAACGTTTTGAGAGCCAATTCAGGATTATACCCCATTGGGAAACTACCTTCTGCTGGGAATGAAGACATTGTTTTTTTAATTAATAGGGCCAATGGCTATAACCCAAGGATAAATATTGCTTGATATTACTAGAAACAGGTGTATACTACCTAATCTAACAGCCCTTAACTACACTATGAAGTTATAGTGATGTAGTAGTTCTATTTACTACCGGCTCCAAGTACAGAGTTTACTGAAGTCTTACTGATTAATAATTCATTTTGGAAAGGACATACTCTATGTTTGCTTGTTTATGTACAGCAACAATAGATCTAAGAATATTTGGCACTTGTGAAAATATCGCGGCATATGAAACGGACGAGCCGCCACAGCTTGGCTACTGTAATATTCTCATTGTGGGTACGACATATTAATTTTATTTGTAGTTTTGTATCTACTTTTCTTGGCCAATTAGAAAGACAAGGACATAAAGACAGTGTGATTTGATTAAAATGGAAAACACTAATGTATCATCTTCACCAAGGACTTCTTTAAGAAAACTTGTGTAAAAAGATAAATTAAACCGTAAAAAAGTAGGTGAAACAAGTGTAGTTTAGTAAGTACTTTTTTACGGTGTTAAATTTATCTTTTGACACAACTGTTTCTTTAGAAACACCGAAGCAGCTCACACTAGTTTAGCGCTAGTTTCTACAATTTTTTGTGTTGTTTATATGTTTGAACATCCCTAGTATCCCTACAAGTAATACTCTTTGATATTGTTGCTGTGGTCGGTAAATGTATTTAAATAAATGACTGACAGGTGTTATAATGTTGACCGCATATTATTGGTATCTGCAACCTTGAGCTAACATGAATACTAGAGCTTAGTATTGTAGGTTTTTGTTTAGCTTTCTATTCTTCCTAACTGTATCTCAGCCTTTTATTGTTTAAGATATAGGACGCACTTATGGTTTTCAATTTTCTTTACAAGAGCGTTACTTTGCTTTTGTCTATGATATCCTACTAGACAGCCAACTACATTTTGCGTTTTCGAGCAAAAGCTGTAGGAAAAACGTAACGCTAACGCTTCGCTTTTTACTATGGATAAAAGATAGTTTTTGTAACCAGAACTTGCCACACTAAGGTAGTTTTATCAATGTTTTTATCGCACGATTCTTCGATCGCCTGCTGCGCGATTTTCTTTTTATAATGAAAGATACAAATGATTGCATTGCCTTTACGAAAACATTGTCTCAATGTTTTGTGTTATTAATATGTACATTCAGGATGTTTGAGCTCAAACACAGCAAGACGTCATACAACAAGGTTATTGTTATTAAGGAGACCCCAGGAGTTTCCTTCCCAGAGTTCATTTAGGCTAATAAACAGGTTTTGCGTTGTTCCTGTTGTATGATGGGAAGATGAATTACTTGCAAAAATGTTATCAAAATAGCTGTTTCTAAAGATAGAAACATAAGTAGTACTATTAAAGTTTAAAGTTTAAGAGCTGTTTCATTCTAGTTTCAATCCAGTACATTGCAATGATCCCTCTAAAGTAATATTACACTTGCTGTAGTCTTTATTGTAGTTGTCTGCTGGCCGTAAGATTTGTTCAACAACATTTTGAGGTGCATTTCTTTTTCCCTCACCAGGATCCCTCTTCCATTTATCACCGAGGAGACCTAGTTTCTCTTTATAGTCGTACGTTTCTGATAAATGATTTCCTTGACGCGTTTGATCGATATTTCTTCCAAATCTACTTTGGAAATATTTATTAAAAATTGCCAGGTTTCGTTTCATGGGTTTAATTTTCCTGGTGTCTTCTTGTAAGACTGTTTTAGTGCTTTGGTTTGGAAAACACTTCCTGGCACTTAATGGTGGTAGTTCTACTGCTACTTGTTCCTCTCTGCCTGATGATATACATGGTCGGATATTGTTTGTTAAGTCAACGTTATAGTTTCCAGGTTTGATGTATGATTTTCCAGTACATGGTGCTTCAATGCGAGGTAGAAACGTTTTCCCCTCTAGAATGAAGTCTTTACTGAAATACGTCCGCTTCGGTTTTACAAACGAGAATGTTTGGACTGAATTTGTGCTGTGGCCAGGAAGGTCTGGTTCTGAGTAAAATCGGGCATGCGTAGAGACGAGTTGGCTTAGTTCATAGAAATCTGCGGATCGACACAAGTTTCGTTCGCAAGCTAACTTGGGAAGGTTCCATGTGTTTTTATATGATCCCCCAAAACGAGTTGCTTTGCTTGATGGGATTGATGGATTATTGACAGGTGTCATGTTACGTGGTGTTTCGATCATAAGTAGCTGTTTAAGTGCTTCAGGACAGAAGACAACTTTATCAACATCATGTTCTTCGAGCTGGAGTCCTTCATCATGCATATAAACACTCTTGACTTTAACAAAAGCCATCGATCTGAAAAAACCTGTATACATGTTGAAACATAGTTAATTCAGATAAAAAAAATTATTTTCTATGTAAAACGTACGGACAAGAGTAACATGGGAAGCAAACGACCAGTGAGCCATGGCCGTGAAACAATAAAAAGCTTATACGAATTTCAAAAGCGATCGATCATTTATCAAGCAAACCGACCAGATAAATTACCAAAACGGTGTAACTAACCCACAAAATGATATCATATATCACACCTTGCTTGACAACAGAAATCTTAGCAACCAAACGAGAGCACAGCAAGCAAAGAAAAAAATAAAATAAAATTGAGCAGGAGAAGTTGAACTTCTGACATGCCACAGTTATGCTTTTAAAAGTTTAATATTTAGGTTTAATAATATTCGGTTCATGAGGATAGAAGTTACATCTTTAGTTTCTAAATAGCGGTCAAACACATAATTTTCACTAGTCTTGGAAAAAAATACAATTGACGTTCACTTACCTAAAAAACGCTGAGAAACTCAACCTGGTAGTTTATTTCAAAGCCACCGAAACGCTTTCATTCACCGTTACTCTCATATGTATGTCGCTCAAGACTAAACAAATAAGCTTCTTTTCACCTGTAAAAATCACTCGAGTCTTGATTGGCCATCGAAATAATATCCAAAAATAGATCGCAATTCAGATAGAAGCCATGCTAGATCTGTATCCCTTGAAAAAAACCTTTGGGAAATGCAAGATAACTAAAACCAAAAATGGATCGCCATGATCAGATTCTTTTTTAGAAATATCCTTAAAATTATATCGTATATCTCAAAATAAAGAGTTTGTCTCTGTAATTTTTCAAATGGTTAATGTTTCATAAAGCAAAACGCAATTATCGCCACTACTAGACTTATATTGTCCTTTTGCGATCTCAGGTGTTAGTATTCTTAGACAACCATTATCTATAGAAGAGCCCTGTATTCTTAACGACTTATAAATAACTGCTTTGTACTTATAACGCTAGTAAATAAAAACACGCGTGCGCAGTAAGGACGGTTCAACGTTAATATAACATATTATAAAATCGACAGGGGAGAGTGCTGATTTTTTTTGGGACTGAAGCATGTGGACGTATCCACAACGGAAGAAAAATTAGATTTTCGTAACATTTCTGTGTTTCACTTAGAGTCCTTCTCACACTATGACGTCACACTATGACGTACGTACATTGAGAAACGTACTAATACAGTACGTTTTGGAGGCTGTTTTTCTTGAGGACGAACAATATAAAAACGGTACGAAAACGCATCACTGCTGTAATTCATTAATTTACTGCAATTACAGACATTCTGAAAACACACAATATCAAATGTTTTGTGGAGGTATTGCGCACAAAAACTTCCTTCTCGGACTTACAGCTCAACCAACTGCGCGCCTAATTTACGGCTGTAACTGCAATGTTTATGTATAAAAATATTGTGTTTATTAATATCATTTCATTTTATTAATGTCAGTTTCTATTTGCTAAAAATTCTATCTTTTTTAGCCTAATCTTTTCAGTGCACTATACAGTACAAACTTCCCATTATAAATGTTACTTCTTTTTTTTATTTCTTCTGAAGTGCTTGGCCATATATTTAGTTGTATTTTTCAATAACTCTTGTGCTTGCATTGTTTAGTGTCATACACTTCGTACTGTCCCATATGTTTTAAAAGGATGAACTTTGCTCTTTTGTACTTTGAAGTTGATATTCTTGGGCGGATGAACCACAATCGAGAGTACTGATGCAAAATACACGTAACTCATCAACATCTAATAAGAAAAAAAAACATTTAATCTTTGAGCAAATGCAACCTGATGGTGGCCATCTCATTTCCCATTCTGTAAAACTGGTAAAGCTTTTCATGATAAATAGTTTAATTAATTACTACAATTCAGTTATACATGATAAATATACCTGTATACTTGATAAAAGTTGTGCATACCATGTTGCAGGAACAATATGGCCAGCACCTTAAACATAAACACCAAAAATACATATTAAAGCAGCCAAATCCCTTAGAAATATTTTGCAGAAAGACCACAGCTTTATTGACAACTACTAGTTGTACAGTATGTGCATGCGCGGAGCTGTCTACATCATTAATCATCCATTAGATTGGCCCACTTTATGCCTACATGTCTGGCGATGTTTATTATCTATTTGCTTGTATCTTTGTTAGTCTTATGATCTGTCCGTCTGTCCATAAAACTGTTTGCACTTACCACAGAGTGTAGCTGTCGATATAGAGAAATATAGCATGTTTGCAAACACCAAGCTTGAAGAAGAGATGTCATTAGAGGAATGAGGTCCATCAAATGAATCATGCTGAAAAATAATAACAAGAATCAGAAAAGAAAGACCCAAAGTTGATTTAAATTATAACGTAGATACCTGGAATATATATGCAAAATATTATATTTCAATATTATTACCTCAATGTTGTAGACCAGTGTGTACAGACCAGCAAACAAGAGTGTCAATGAAAGAAATGACTGCCCCAGAAATGACTTTGTCAATGTATGATGCATGAACTGCTTGGTGAGCTTTACTAAGTAAACATTTACTTATGTAAATAAATATGAAAATTTAATCAAATAATATCTTCACTAGGTTTTCTTACCTGAGGTTATAAACACTAAGAAAAGATTAAATGCTTGAACCACAACCAAAATAGCAACAGTCTGAAGAAAAGACAATTTATAACAACAAATTTCAGTATTTCTTACTGTAGCAGAATTGCAATAAGTCAATTAAAGAAGCTTATAATATTTACCCAGATAAAGGTTGACTTTTCTTTTCTCTTATGTTGTGTTAAAAGGTGTAATAGAGTAAGGGCAACTACTCCAAGAACCTATTATATGAAAAATAAAAATATCATAACTGCATGATAAATATAAATATCAACTGCATGATGTATGAAACAAGTAAATTATTTGTGAATATCAGTATCTTAGGGTTCTCTGAACTGGATTCACATTTTCAACTAAATCTTTTTTCACAGCAACTAACCTGCCAAACTGTTGTAATAATAAGAAGATTAGATACAATCCAGCGAGGAACTCTTGGCCTAAAACAAAACATTACAAAAGATCTACATTTATTGCATAATTCTGAGTATACAATCTCCTTTACTAATCAGCTTGATAATGACAAGGGCATTTCCATTGTCAAAATAATTTTAAAATTTCCCAAAGTCCATGATTGTGGGTCGAACATGTCATAATTTTGATCATGGGCATCTCTTGCAGGTTTATAACTAGACCCTGTATTCCATTTTGAAGAAGATTGTGACCCTTGATATTACATGATATACTAATGACATTTTTGGGGGAGGGGAGGGAAGGGGTGAGGAAGTTACATAACACATTCAATGTACCGTCTTTTTTTATAGGATAAATATTATATCATTAGATATCAAGGCCATAGTGTAGTCAGTAGTCAATTGCATTGTATAAGACTTGCATGTATACTAAAAATCAAGTACAGTAGAATGTAATACAAGTACCTTCTCCTTGGTTTCAATTCTCTACCAACATACGTCAGCTGTTTTAAGGCATTCCCAGTTTCTTGTAACGTTCCGATCAGCGTTTCTACTTGCTCCTGAGTCAAAACAACGGTTGGTGGATCATACTTATTTCTAATTGATGCACTTCCAGAACTACGACTATTTGAGAAATTATGAATCGCATCGACTTCCTCAATCCCAAGTTGATCTGCCAAAGTCGAGAACTGGTGATCACCGCTGTGTTCAACATCTGATTCTCTCCTTGCATTGACTAGTAGACATTGTTGTGCGTTGTTGTTGCTGCCGTTTAGATCCATTTGTTCAGTCTCTTAGCTTAAGTCTTAACTGGTAATCTTGAATCTGTAATACAGTGTTTATGTTTAGCCAATAAACCTCGTGACCAGTTCAATGACAATACTTGTCATCGCGTCTCAGCGGTACATTCTTCAATAAAATCTCTCTATTCCATATAAAGCTTTCTAGAAAACCAAGACCGACTAGCTTCTTATCCTTTCAAGATCGAAGTAGAAAGCGAAATTTGAGCTTTCATTCAAATTGTTGAACAAACATCAACACATTTATTTACCAGGCGTTCCTTGGGAAACTACGGAGGACTGGGTTGGGTAGGCGAGTCCTCCCGTCATGCTTTGTGAGCGTCGTTTATGATCAAATCCAACATGGCTGACGCTTGAGCAACAGTCTTTAGAAAAATATTTAAAATGAGCTAAAACGGCCCTGTGATGAGCTAAATTTCAGCAGGAGAAAATGTGAAAAGACTAATCTATCCGTAAACTATGTCCAATACGATGAGAGTTGCTGGTGTATTCATGTAAGTTAGCGAGAATCCAACATTTGATAAATCAGCTGTGGTTTCGACGATGCATAATTTTTTTTGTTCACATTCCTTTACTATTGAAGGCTTACCATGCTCTATATCATTCTCTACAATAGTTTGAGTAGCTTATAAAATCAATCGTTTTTGAATTCATTGTAAATATCTTGTTTTGGTAGTCGTTTGCGTTGACAGGTATTATGTATTTTATGGTGTTGAATTGCTTGACTCGTCCATTGTTTGCCTATTAAGTTATTATTCTTTTTTGAATATAAACTTACACATTGTACGATTGTTTTGTTTACAGGCAGAGACAGTGCCACTGTCTAAAACAGAAAAGTACTTACAGTAATTCAATTGTTTTGATAAATAAAGTAACAAGACCCTCACTATGTCAAGCTGGTGGATTTCAACAGCGCTACTATTTTCATTCCTTACTTCGATTGAAGTCTAAAAATATAAAACAATTCAAGATCTACAACAAAGATATAAATGCTTATATAACAAGAGTTTCTATTGGACGATCCTTATATGGTCAAAGGACTTTTACAACACAGGCCATTAAGGCTGTGATGAGACTTGCAAGAGTTCGATACTTTATTATTGGTTCTGTTGGTGCTGGTGCTGTCAGCGCTAAACTGGTAGGTACTTTGCTCACTTGAATCTTCTAGTTTATCTATTTCCCTTTCTCTTCATATTGGATTTGTTATTACAGATACTGCAGTTTTCCTCCATTTCATTCCTACCACTCTTGTTCCATTTCGTTTTCATTGCTTCCGTTTTATTTGCCTTCAGTTTCTGTTGTATCACCATATGATGTTTTGGTTTGATTTTCCAGACATATAATTCGTGGAAAGACAAGTGGATCCAGTTCCAGGAAAAAATACCAGATTTAAGCTGGTTAAAAAACATCTTGCCAGATAAAGAAAGTTTATTAGGAGATTTTTTATCAAGTACTTTAGATGAAGGTAGTTATCATACACGTACGAATGGTTTTTAACCATAAGAATATTGCTTACATTGATTTGATGTCAAAAGACAAAAGCAGCAACACAATGATCGATACATGTTACATTAGCAAGCATACAACTTTGCATTAATGCTTCGTTCAATGCATATACATGCATCCATGTACATGCTTGCTGTCTACTTATGGGCATTATTTATTCATTTATCTATTTATGTAGGTGTGGAATCATTTAATAATATGTTTGATCGACTTGGAGTTGTAATTGATGATTTATTTGCATCAGGTAAAATATATATTTGATTGTCATTATTTCTTAAAGTGAATTCAGAGAAAGAATGGCCTAACTGCATTGTACAGGACAAGTTTTTCTTTAAAATAATCTATTTAGCATTCAAGATACCTAAGATTATTATATATTTGCAGTAATGTGTCATTGCTGGGATTAAATCAGTGTGCATTTGTTATATGGCATATTTCACTTGTTTTATTTCACTCAGAAGCAAGTCCAGTAGTTACAGCAGCCGTCAAACAAGATCAAAATACAGAAGATACAGATGAAAAGCCACGACAGTCCAAAACTCCAATGGAAAAGGTATTTCATCATTAATTTTACCATCCAACAATTTCATTATTCCCTCACATTTCTTCTCATTTCACTGCTTTCTTATGTAGATGCATGATCGTTTAGAGAAATCACAAGATGAACTCATCAACCTACAGGTAGATTAATAAAAATCTTCCCTGAATAAATTGCTCAGATCATCCATATATTTTAACTGATCTCATGGAAATATTCCTTTCAGCAACGCTACCAAAGAGAAATAGAAAAACTAGAAAAAGATAATCGTGAGCTGAGAAAACAGTTGATCATTCTAAAAGGTGACACTGTTACAAAGCCAAGACATGTTCGAGTAAGTACATGTAGTTAGTAGTAGTTTTTAAAATTACCAGTTAGTAGTAATTACCAGTTAGTAGTAATTACCAGTTAGTAGTAATTACCAGTTAGTAGTAATTACCAGTTAGTAGTAATTACCAGTTAGTAGTAATTACCAGTTAGTAGTAATTATTATTGATTATAAAGGTTCATGATACTCCTTGAAATCTTTGAAAAGTCCTGGAATTATGTAGTGAAAATGTAGCACAAACCCTGATGATAGCTAATGATATCTAAATATTTATAACCCTATCTTTTGATATGTAGAAATCCTTGATTGACATGTACTCTGATGTTTTGGATTTGCTTGCTGAATATGATGCTAACTATAATACTACTGATAACCTACCAAGGGTGGTGGTTGTTGGTGATCAGAGTGCAGGAAAGACCAGTGTTCTTGAGATGGTTGCTCAAGCTAGAATATTCCCAAGGTTAATAATATTATATTAATTTACTTACCATTATAATTATTATTGTTCTTACAACAACATTGTAAGTTAAAGTGTTTCTTTGCACTGTAAAATGATAAATACATGTACTGTACAATAGTATGTGCTAATTTCTCTCTCTAATGATCACTGTTTAGTAATAATGAATATTTGTACTATGATCATAAAGTGCATCTAATATAGTAATTACAGAAGTATATTGTTCAAATCCCTTTATGTCCATGTTATTCAATTTTACTATCTTCAGGGGATCTGGACAAATGATGACAAGATCTCCAGTCATGGTATGTCATGTTTGTGAACAAACAAATAAAATATATGTGATGGATTCTGAATTAATATTGATTACAATATTTTTTTAAAATGTTTTTAAAGGTGACATTAAGCGAAGGACCTGAACATATAGCACAGTTTAAAGACCATTCCAGACAGTATGACCTCACACAGGAGAATGAGGTATTAACTCTGTTCCTGGCCTACCATGTGCTTTACCTGGCCTGCTTTTCGTGGTTAAGTGATAAAAAAATGCTTTTTATCTTGTAGCTGCATGATTTACGACAAGAAGTTGAACTCCGCATGAAGAACAGCGTAAAGAAGGGACAAACTGTGAGCCCAGAGGTATGCAAAACAAAACTATACATTTTTTGTCTTCAACATTATAATTGACAGACATTTTTTATGAAATTTCCTGGCTACACTAATTCTTTTCCCTTATATATTAGGTGATTTCTATGACTGTCAAAGGACCTGGACTTCATCGTATGGTCTTGGTAGATTTACCAGGAATTATTGGAGTGAGTACCCATTAAAATCTATTCCAGAATGTATTAGTTCCTGGATAAACCTGGCTTCAAAATGTTGTATTTTTATTGCAATACAGCTTTTTTCATCATCAACATTATTTCTCTGTGTGTCAGAAAGGTCAAAGTGATTCCTCCAAACTATATACTGTACATGTATTTAATTCTAGACTGAAACCACAGGAATGGCACAGAACACAAAAGATAATATTGTTGAAATAAGCAGGTATGTATGTCTGTGTGTATCTATAAGAGAGGGAAAGTTATTGCCTCTCATACTGTAGATTTTATGGTCTTGGATTTTTTTGGTTTTATAATGCCATACACTCTTATTTTAACTTACACTTGAACTAGTCTTGTACATCCATCTATAATGTATTCATGTATTTATTCATTGATTACTCTGTCTGTTTTTCATGTGATTGATATTGTATTTTGAATACAGGCGTTATATGCAAAACCCCAATGCAATCATCCTCTGTATCCAAGGTAACAATTTTTATCGAATAGCAGTGATGTCGCCCCGAAGTGATCTCGCCCCGTGATCTCGCCCTGTCGCTTTGTCTTTAAAAGACATCTATTATCTGTATTGATCAAGGGCTTCCACTTGTTTAACAGTAGTTATTTCATGTTTCTAGATGGATCAATAGATGCTGAGCGTAGTAATGTCACTGACTTGGTGAGTTCTATGGACCCACAAGGAAAGAGAACCATCTTTGTTCTCACCAAGGTTGACTTGGCTGAAAAGAATGAAGCAAGTCCCAGCAGAGTAAGTCCATTCTTGATATTATCAGCATTTTATAGAGGGTAGATAGGCAATGTCACTTCTATRCCAGGATGGTGATGTAATCTTTTCTCAGCTCACTGTTCTACAATGTATTGATGCCTTGGCTTTTCCAAACTTTAGCCATGACCTTTTCTTGATACAGTATCAATTCTAAATTCTAAAAAAATGTCTTGGAATTTCACCCATACAAATTAATATTGTTCACATGAAGTCTTTTATTTTAGATCAAGCAGATTCTTGAAGGCAGATTGTTTCCTATGAAAGCACTTGGATACTTTGCTGTTGTTACTGGAAGTGGTATGTAGAGTGTGTTTTTTTTTCTGTAGCTGTTCTTGTTATTGATACTTCAGCTGCTGTTACAGTAAGTTTTGTATTGTATTGTATGCTAATCTTGTTTGTATTGTAGGCAATACGCGAGAAAGCATTGACAGCATCCGTGATACAGAAGAAGAGTTTTTCCAAAACTCAAAATTCTTTAAGTAAGTAATATGTTATTTTTTTCTCTCCTTCATTTATTCCCATTAAACTTCCACCACCTCTTCCATTCTTTCACTCACTTTGTCTTTTGTTGTTTTAGTCTCTTTCATCCACATCTTTTCTTCCATCCATTCTCTTTTCTTTCCTTCTGTATTCCCATCTTACTTTCAACCTTTTCTTCCTATCTTCCTGGATTTTACTTCTTTGTACACACTGTTTGTCTCTTTAAAATCTGCCCATTCTATCTATTGATTTTCTTTCCTTGTAGCTTTTCTGCTATCCTTCTCTTCTACCCTAGATCTTATTCAGATTTCTCACATTTTCAGATCTGGAATATTCAAAGCCAGTCAGATGACGACACAGAATCTCAGCTTTGCTGTTTCTCATTGTTTCTGGAAAATGGTCAAAGAATCCATTGAACAGCAAGCAGATGCATATAAAGGTAAAACACAAGTCATGTTTACTTGAAGCAAGTTTCCAGGTTGTGGTAAAAGTGGATATAGTAATCCATACTAGTTGTAATTCCTGGATGCTTATGTACTTTGGTTTGTTTATAGCTAAAAAGTTTAACCTGGAAACAGAGTGGAAGAACCACTTCCCAAAACTACGAGAACTAGACAGAGTAAGTAGTAATTTATTACTCTGATATTTTGAACATTTGACTCAATGAACTATCATTCATTACTATTTATTTATTAATTACAGAGTGAACTGTTTGACAAAGCTCGTGGAGAACTTTTGGATGAGGTATTGAGTCTGAGTGACATTAGTCCTCAACAATGGGAAGAGATCTTATCTTCACGGCTATGGGAGAAAGTATCGCCACATTTTATTGAAGAAATCTACTTGCCAGCTGCTCAGACTAGCGGTGCTAACAACTTCAACACTAAAGTTGACATTAAGCTGAAACAATGGGCTGATAGACTGTTGCCACAAATGTCTGTTGAGGTAAGTTAAAAGTACTAATAGCAGTGAAAAGAAATGGAAGAAAACATGACAACTCAAAACATTAATAAGTGGAATAATACATTATTATAATTATAGGTTGGCTGGCACACTTTATTCAATGAATTTGATAAAGCTATGCAGGTAAATATTATTATTATTAAACAATATTAAACTATAATTAATTAATGAGAAAAGAATTTAAATATAAGAAAATTTGGAATTTTAGTAAAACCTATAACTTACAATATATTTAGGTTTTGCTAAAGCGTGCTCTTTGAAAAACATTTGATCTCGTGAAAATTAAAATTGCTATGTATTCAATCGACAAATCATTTGCTGTTTGTATTGTTTTTAGGCAACTAAAGATGCTAAAATGACAAGAGAGAATCATGTCCACTTGTTTGAGGACTTGAAGGGAGAAGTGGCCAATGAATGCAAGAAGACTCACCAATGGCAGCCAAAGGCTAAAGACAGCTTGGTAAACTAATGTCTACAGATTAACAACAACAAAGCTCTTCAAAACACTAAACATAGTTTGATGATGTTTTATTATTCAGAGTGTAATCCAGCTGACTGCTTTAGAGGACTGGTCTGTWACTGATAARCTACAATGGGAAGCAGCTATCAAATTTATGGAAAAAACACTCCAAGAAAAACTAGATCAAGGTAATCTTCCTCTCCTCAAGCTGTTAGACAAGTCCCAAAGACTAACATTTTAATGTACAAGTACAGTCATAAACATTTGACATACTTCTTGTGAAAATATTTTAGGAACATTAAAATGAAGTTATTTCATCTATGATAYGATTTGCTTACAGCTAACGGTAAAATGCATGAGTTACTGGGTCCYGGTGTGTGGGAGAGATGGCTTTATTGGCAGTATCGCTCTCAAGAAGAGGTAAAGTATATTAATTAATGTATCAAGTCTGAAATGTTTACATAATCATTTGTTCACTTCCATTCTCTTTAGATAAATCGTTCTTACATCAAAGAAGAACTTCAGAGACTTCTACAGGCCCATGAGGTAAGATAATTCACACCTTTAATCATAATTGAATGCAGTCGTTTCTATAAAAAATGTTACGTTGAACCATTTGRTTCGTTTACAGTCAGTCAATGTGCACCTGTCTGTAAGCAAAATATTACCCTCTACAAACTTCTAAATACTTCTTTGTTATTATGGTGTATATTTGTATCGAATTGACCGGTTCTGACCTGTATCGAAATGACTTTCTATCGAAATGACCAGTATTCATCATAATTAGTCTAGCATGCCTGTATTGATTTTGATTTAGGATCATGAACCATCTTTATCAAGTGATGAGGTCACTACAGTTCGCAAGAATCTTGAYACCGTTAGTATTCAAGTTGATAAAGATTTGGTGAGTTTTCTCAACAAAAAGCACTTCAACTTTTAACTTACCTCTAAATATGATCAATTTKTTCATGGCAATTTTTGTCACAGATTGAGGAGACCTGGACACAACTTTACAGAGAGCACTTTTTGAAGAGATCAATTGCTTCTGCAAGAGAGTGCAGTGGGGCCTTTACCAGAAGAGATCTAGCTAAAAATGAAGTACAAACAAACACAATTCTTCCAATTTGTTTTATAATTGAAATGCTATTTTTCCCTTTCCCCAAATTGCATTTAGTCTGTTTGCCTCAAGGTGAAGACTTTTTGTTTATGTTTAGTTACAATGCAATGATGTTGTGTTATTCTGGAGAATCCAAAAGATGTTGCAAACAACAAGCAATGCTCTTCGACAGCAAATTATGAATCAAGAAGGTACAAATAATGTTCATGTGAGCTTTGTGTTAAGATTCTTGTCTTATTCTGATAACTGCCTACACGAGTAAAAGGAATGTTATATAATATCTGATATATTTTTTGTAGCACGACGTCTTGAGAAAGAAGTTAAAGATGTCTTGGATGACATAGCTCACAATCAACAAGACAAAGAGAAGTTAATAACTGGTCGACAAGTGGAGCTTGCAGAAGAACTAAGTAAGAAAGTGTTCCTGGTATTAATGTTAAATTTTCCTGGTATTGGTATTCCTGGTAATGGATTGATGTTCATATTAATGTTGCAAGGTGTTCTTGGTAATGATATTTAATGTCAGGAATTACATTGTACATGGTACTGATGATGCTAATTCAAGTACTAATTTTAATTTTTTATCTTTTTATTTCCTCAGAGCGTGTTCGTCATATACAGGAAAGTCTTGAGATGTTTATCGAGGCATTGAATAAAGAAAAATAGACAACTTACTTATCAAGGAAAATAAAATGTTGAGGGTCTTAAAGCTAAGTGGCTTAATGGATTGTGTGGGACATTATTCCCCTAACCTCCCCTCCCTGATATACCTATTGCTACCAAGGGGGGCTGACCACAAGCAGGGTTTATGTGTAATGTATTTGTTTTGTTAAAAATGTAACAAACGTTTATATACATTATGCTATGAAATTAAATTTTCTATTTACAATCCAAATGCCAGTTTAAACAAATGGTGCTATTTGTAATGCGAAATATTAAAAATATCAGGTGCATTACACTTAGACCTGTGGCAGATTGGACCAGTGAACGCGTTCATTTTTTACGCAAAGTTTTTCGCAATTTTCATTTTCACCATTTTTCGTTGGGAGACAAGATGAACAATTGGGCTCGTTAAGATCTTGCATTTTCGACGTCAAACTCCCAGAACAAAACTAGCTTTCTTCGGCTACATTTGACGAACTATTTTCAGCGTCCAGTTTCTTAATTTTATGCCGTCTTCGTGGATGTTTTTTGTCTTCGTGCATAGTTTTTGGTAAAGATGGTGGCTTGGGTGTGTACTCATTTTCAATATCTTGACCTGGAGAACCCGGGCTTAAAGACGAGCTTTCTGTTTGCCGTGAATCCGATTTGTGTATCTTTTTGTGGGCATGTTTTCTATGGTGCTTTGTTTTAGCTGCGGGAAGACGAATCTCGGAGGTGATACTGTTCCCCTCGAGTCTTCCCAAAGGACTTCTTTTAAATCCATAAAGTTGATGCTCGTGTTGCGTAATTGCATGAAAAGATCCATGTTTTAAACCCGTCAACGTCTGCTGTGTTGACTGTTCGATTTTCGGCAAAAATGAAGCTCTTTTGGGAACTTTAACATCTTCGTTTGAGAGTTTTGGCAGTGAAATGTGGTCAACTGCAGGAAGATTGGCTGTCATGTCTACCTTGATATTCCTGTAAGTATCTCGAATTTCGGCTTTCGCAATTGGATTTATCTCCCTAATTCTTGTCGTTGAATGCCTCTGTGGCTGATTAAAGTTCATAGTTAACTGTTTACTACCTTTTTGATTTCCTATAAGCTTGTTCGGGATGTAAATGGGAGCTAAAAACGGCTCAGCTCTGCAGCCGTGACTTGATGGACTTGTACCAGGAGTTGGCGTTGGTGGTCGCTCTAGCAGCGCTGCTGTCCTTATTGCTAATACTGCAGGCTGAACACATTTCCTATCCTTGACCTTAGACGAGTTAACAGGGGAGTTTTCTGAGGATTTCTTTTCAAGAGGTGATTTTTTAGCCATTGTTGTTTTGCTTTCCATTTGCTTGCTTTTCTTTTGTATAAAGATTACGTGACAATAGTTACCATAGCAACGTGACGTCAGTAATGAACCGCGCGCGCTTTGTGAACGAAGAAAACTTTTGTTCTTTTTTTWAAAAAGATTTTCTCTTTAATTTTTTTTTTGAAACTATATTGTGAGATTATTTCCCCAAGGTTGAAAATCATGAAAAAGACAAATTTTTAGCTTGACAAAGTTTTAGCTGAATTTTAACGGCTGCTATGACAACCAGAGCAAATCGGTATATATAGTTGTCACGGGGTAAAAATCACGCTTTTGCTGAAATTTACAATACTAGAAAAGCTTTCTGTTATGCTAAAAACCCCCTACTTCACGAGCGATCGCTGTTAAGAGGCTTCAAGGTGTATTATTTGTATTTGCAGGTACAAGTGTCACATCTCCATGGTAACCAACTCGGTTTCAAATTTCACTGAATTTCCCAATTCCCCTGGCTTTCATTCAAGMAGTAATGTCAGGATTTGCTTTCTATGACGAGGCCTACTTGTCCATGGTTTCATCGCGGTGTGAGGTCAGTATTGTACAGGTGCACTCGTTCCTGTCATGTATTTTGATCATAACCTTGTAGTACTTAAAATGTTATTGTAGTTGTAATATTTTAGTTCATTTAATGGACAAAACAATACATTCAGCCCTCAAATGGCTCTTTTTATCGATTTCTTATGAGTTGAGATGCAAGTAATTGAATGTTTTCTAAAGAACAGCCGTTTATAAAGCGTTGACGCTATGAGATTCTCATCCTTTTATTTTAAAAAAATTACATGGGATATTAACTTATGATAAGTCCAAATTAATCGTAAAAAGGTGCCCATTTGATTAAAATGCAGACGTACCAGAACTTAATAACCATTAAATAACATGAATAAAAAAAAGGCTGAATGAACTTCGCTACATAAAAAACACGAATCGAAGTAGTGAAATGTTCGGCTGACTGTTTCACAGTCGGTGTTTCTCAGTCGGTGTATTTATGCTCGGAACGTGCGCTCTTCCGACGGCTAGAAATAAGGAGGCGAGTTGAAAGAAAATTCATTTCCGTCACTATTTTCAGTCTCGATTATAAGTATAGCCTGCTTTTTTCGAATAAAAAATCTTATTGTGTGCTGTTTTTAAGCGTTTCTATCGAACAATTCAGTTCCTGTCAGTTTGAACTTGTTTTTCACCTCATCGCAGCAAATAACTTCTCTTTTATTGTGGTTTTTTGACTTTTTATGTGGGTTTTAGCAATGTAATTGTGTTGTAACTGTACTCGAGTGACAGCTAGTGAGTTATAATGAGTTACTCTAGCGTAACGCCCCTAATACAGGTCATTCTAGCCTCAATTGAAAAGGATTTTCAAATACTCGTCTGTGATTGGTCAAGGGATTCTATTCTCTTGTTTTCTGTCTATTCACATCGTTCGTTACGTTGAAGCGAGCGTCTTTTCAGTCTCTGGCGGACAAACTGATTTAAATATMAACGGTCAATGACCCGTTTAAGAAGAAAGTAAAAAAAATAACCCAACAAACTACTTGAAAAAACTTTACTGTATCCATTCATCGGCCGTGTAGAAGGCTCGTGTCAATATTTGGTAATGTAGTGTTCACAAGTAGRGTGTTTGAACACTGTGCTGATTATAACTGATCAAACACGAGTTGGATTGCTTGAAATATGGCTACAAACATCGAAAACTCAGCTGATGAAAATCTTGCTGGTGATCACAGCCAATCAGCTCTTAATGATGAACTTGACAGACTTCGACGAGAAAACGAGGCAGTTAAGGTAACTTTTAAGATCAATAACTCACCACAGTCTGCTGCTATGTAAACTGTCTACTGTATAGTACCTCATATATATAGTTAGATTCTCRCATTATTAGAAAACCATCCTTGTTTGCTTTGACTCAAACAAAAAGCCTTCACTCAGTCGCTTGAGTTTTTGTTTAGTGAACTAAGTTTTTACGCCGAAATTTTGCTRAAACGAACATWAATCAAACGGTAAAGGTTATAATTATTACAGTTAGTTATGAAGTCTGTTCATTCACGCTTCAAGGGATAGTTCTCTTTTTATGTTTATAGCTGTCATGTATGTTTGTTSTTTAGTGAGGTTGGTATGTGTAACTTGAGGTATAAATTTACATGATGTGTGCTATAACAGTTCCATCATATTGTTATGCACCTGTTGATGCCATGCTCTAATAATATAGACCCTACTGTGGACCCTGATGAGATATCTTATAATAATTAATTTTATACAATAGTAAAAAAGCAATCAAAATGCGTAGAAACTTAGAATACTCGATCTTTGATCACGACAAAAATGACAATAATTTGAAGTGTATATACACTATTTTATTTATTAGCCGCGCATGATATATATCATACCGTCTGTGGTAGCGTTGATGATTACTCGAAGCTGTRGAGGATTGATTACTTAAAGGAAGTGAAGCTCTTGTAATTAAAGTAGCTTGTTATCTTTAGTTTTAGTCAGGTATTTTTATGTAGTTTTTAATCAAAACTTTAGAATTGAAATAGACTTATCATGAAAACAAATTTGGACGAAMAAAAAGCACAATCGGWCAAACTGGCATTGAAACAACTTATATGGATYCATTTTCATAATTAAAATTGAGTTCTTCTTATGTAAAAGCCGTAAAAGTATTRTATAAAGTTGTTGTTTCTAACCGTATTCTTTCCCGRCCAAATTTCCGCTCAAAAGAGCAAACACATTAGAATTTTAATGATGATTTTAAGTCATTTTGGATTAAAGCTGTCAAATTGCGCAAATTTAAAATGAATTCAAAGTTAAGAATAGGAAAAGAAGAACGAGTGGCTTTGCATGTCTGCGTTAATTGGGCCAAAAAGTTAATGTTGATAGTGAATATTTCAATTGTTGTCTCACTGACAGCTGGTGCCAGGTGAATGATAGTGYTTAGTGTTGTTCTTTGTAGTTGGTGTATTCAGTGAGTATTGTTTACAATTAAAAGTAAACATCTTTTACATCACTTACGGATATATAGCGTTAGGTTATTAATAGTAGCCAATGATTAATGATAGCTAATAGTGATAAATAATATCATAGCTTTATTGATTATTAGTGAATGTCAACATCCGTAGCATCGTTACCATACACATGTCCGTAACGCACAAAAAAGGAATACAGAACTGAAGTGCGATAAACGTAAGAACTATATACGTAAAGCTCAATAGAAGTAACGCATCTAAAACCGCAGCTTAGCCCTTTCTTTCAGATACATATGCATAAAAAGCTTACAAAAGTACCAAAGACGTATCGGAACCTAGTAACGCAAAAAAAAAACGTAACTCGAAGTACACGTAACGCACCACAAATATAGCGCAAAAATAGACATACATTGACGCGTACGTAACGCACTTCGTAAGGGACCAAAGACGTGACACCGATATAAATGTAACATTAGATGTGATCCATCCACAGTCTGACCTTGAGACTATGAAAGGTATTTTAGTTCGTTACGGAAAACGCATCTCTTTCAAACTCTGCCCGTTAGAAGTTCCACTGCATTTAAATTTGTCATGAAGAATTTATTTAGTTTACAATAAGCAGGTAAATGTACTCTTAAGTATAGAATTATAATCAGTTTAATTATAAAATCACAGTTGTAGTTAGTAATTTGTATATTTTAATAAGTCGGTGTTTGAGCGCCAATTTTATGTAATGTATGATTGAATATTGAATGTACCTCGTTCATTGCAGAATGACTTGAACAACACCAAAAGACAATTGGAACATGTAAAGTAAGTACAAAACCTCAGATATCATATCAGTCTGGGAATATATGTTGAACTATACAGGTATAATCGTGTATAGCGTCCTCATTGACCCCTCAGAATAGGTCGATTGACGGTCGATATACAGTCAACTCTCCTTTTAATCAACTGAGATGCCCGCAATAGCGAGTGTCCGTTGTTATAACAATAAATAGTTATTTCCAGCAATCTCTTTGGAGCGAGAATTTCTTTCCTGTCCGTAATAGCGAGTGTCTGTAATATAGGGGTGTTTATCTGCTTCAACCAGCTTGGCTCAAAATACTACGTTCTACCTTTCTGTTTAGTTTTGCTTCGGCACAGGAATCCCAAAGTAGTACAAAAAGCTAACTTGCATCGTTTTGTTTATAGTTTGATATCAGGCGGAAGTGAATACAACAATCTAAAAGAACAGCTTTTTGAAGTCATGAAGAGCAAAGAAGGCTCGGATGCTGAGATCAAGGCCTTAAAGGTCCAGCTAGGAATGGCCGAGGAGGCCCGGGATGGAGCACGGAGGGATCTGATTGAAGCTCATCGTAAAATACGCGAAACGGAAGAATCAAAGGAATCAATGAGAAAAGATAACCTGTCTTTACGAAGACATCTTAAAGATGAGGAACTGGAACGATCTTCGCTGGAGAAAAGCTTAGAAAGTCTACGAGAAAAGGTAACAAAACTATTTTTACTTTGTCGTACGGTTTATAGTAAGTGATACTCTGGGGAAACGGTGTTCGAGGTCTGATATTTTTTTCCGTATGTTTGTTAGATGTAAGTATTATTGAAGTTGCTGTTGTTGTTGTTGCTGCGGTTGCTCATGGTGTTGATACCGATCTTGTTATTACCGAGTTTCAATATTCTTTTTTGCTGTTTCAGGTCAAGGAAGTTGAAAACGAGAAATCAGAAACAAAACGAGTTCTCGACGAAGTTGAAAGYAAATACCGCGTGAATGAAGAATCGCGGGCGTCGCTATCAAACGAAAACGAAGACATAAGATTGCGATACAACGAAGTTGAAGCAGAACGCAACGAAACTCGTCGAGAACTCCAAGAAGCCTTACGTCAAGTAAAGCTACTCAGTGCTGAGTGTCTCCAAGGGAAACGTGACGTCACTGACTTGAAAGAGAGGCTTGCGCAAGAAGAAATTAGACGAGAGGAGACTCGGTACGAGGCTTATTCGATAAAACAGAGTATTATGCATCTTGATGCTGAACGAGAGCAAAATAAGCAGGATTTGGCCAAAGCACAACGAAGGTCAGTATKTACATGGCTATTACTGCACTAAAATCACAAACATCATTAGTAACGATGCCTCAAGTCCACTTCTCTCGACTTACCCCCTCCCCTCCCCTTTTGCTCAACCGAAGGAAGACAGGTATCAAGTGTTGCAAGTAGAGGAGGGGCAATTGTTAGTAGCCAGACATGACAGCAAACTACTCAATTTCTTCTAGGGCTAAGGAACTCGAAGATAAATTTGCCTCAAAAGAGAGAGATTATGTTGCACAGATYAATGAACTCAAAGAATTTGAGGAAAAAGCCAAGAAAAGGATGAGGGATTTGGGAGATAATCTTGAAACGACTACATTTGAACGCGAGAATTATAGAGCACAGTTATCAGGTAATTGAAAAAAAAACGATGTCTTCTCTCTTCTTTCTTCATATTCTTGCCGTTTCACATTTTCTTCTCATCTTTCTACCTCTTTCTTTTCTTTCCATTGCGGTTATTTCGAAACGTTAACTTGTAAATTTTGTCCATTTGTTTACACCTTCAAAGTCGGTCCACAAGTAACTAAMTTACACTTTGTTTTTTAGGGAACGACGGTCGTATCAATGCCCTTGAAGCGCAGATTGGTCGACTAGAAGGACTGAAACTAGACGCTGAGTATAAACTGAGCAGCTTGTATTCAATTCTTAGACGTTCACTKGGTATAAAGAACTATCACCAGTCTCCTATCAGCCCTAAAAAGCCGCGTAGGTCGTTTCGCTCGGTCCAGCAAAGGGATCTTTCTTCTTCCTCTGGTGATTATAATCAGAACGATTTTAACTGAATGAATGGATGAATGCATGAAAAAAAATTACTGAATGAAAAGATGAATTGATCACAAATGATCACAAAGAAATCCACATGAATTTWTGAATTTTKCTAATAATTTRTTGTTTTTTTTTTCACYAGAGGAATCAATGGATGAGATTGACCCTGACCTTGTCAAAGCAACACTGAATGAACTTCTTCAAAACTTCCGAGAAACAGAACGAAAACGAGACGAAGCGGTAGCCAAAGTAGAGACCCTACAGCGCATGGTCGGTGAGATGGAAGAAGACCGTGTTTCYGTTGCTGCGAGGATGAAAGATCTTCATGGAGAAATCAACACATTAAAGGAACAAAAAAGAACATTTGAAGATCATTACAACTCTTTACAGACAACACTCACTCTTAAGGTAAACTTTAAACCAGCGAAATTAAACGTTACCTCTTTACGTTTTTCTCAGATTATTTGTATAACGTTCATAACTTGTTTTTTATTCATTTTATTTTGTATTTATTAGGAAGAAGCAATTCAAAAGCTTGAGCGTGACATTATTTCAACAACTGAAAAAACCCAGATGCTGGAAAGCTCCCTTTCTCTCTCAGAGAACGAACGCCATGCTCTTCAAAGTAAGATCCGGGACCTTCAAGACATGGAAACGAGGCAAAAGGATGCCAATGATGCATTGCGCAATGAGTTAGATTCTGCATCMGGGCATCGCAACAAATTGGAGCTTAAGCTGACCGCACTTGATGGTGAATTACAACGAGTCAAGAAATKTAATGGAGAGAATGAGGCAGAGACAAGAGAGCTGCGTGAACGACTGTCTCTGACGATGAGAGAAAAACAGGTAAAATGCCAGAATATCAAATTCTTATACTTTGTAAGTTTAGTTTTAAGGTGGCTCTTTCCTTTTCTTGCTCTTCCCCAGAACTAGGCTGTAGGTACCACTGGAAAAAATCGCGCGCTTTAAGGGTTGTAAATTTGATGTAAATATGATGTAAGTGTCTAAAATTCTGTAAATTTAATGGAAATCATTTACATCAAATTTACAGAATTTTGGACACTTACATCATATTTACATCAAATTTACAACCTTTAAAGCGCGCGATTTTTTGCAGTTTATACATGTATCTCAAATCCTGTTGTTCAAAATCCAGATCCCAGTCCAAATTAGAAAGTTGTATTTTTATTTGATTCTGGATTACCTTACACGAGGCGAACTCCATTAGCGCTTGAAGTCCAATGTTTTATGAGACAAAAATGAGTAGAATCGAGTGTTGTAATGTCATTATCTTAATCATAGGAAATAGAAAACAAGGTTGTCAACCTGGAGCTTGTYCTTGAGAAAATGACCGCTGGTCTATCTAAAGCAGAGAATGAGGAAGCGAGGCTAAAGGAAAAAATCCAGTCACTTTCCATCTCGTTAGCAGACAGTAACAGCAGCTCGCAAAACCTGCAGGACAGAATTCAACAATTACAGCGTGTAATAACGTCGAACGATAACGATAAGAAAGTAAGAAACGAGAAGATTTCAAAAATGAAAGAAASCCTGAAGGAAAACAAGAATGAAAACAGAATTTTACAAGAGAAGATCCACTTCTTTGAGCGCGCGACCGAAGACTCTGATCTCAGAATGCGTGATTTTGAGAATCAGCTGAAACACTTAAAGAGCGTGTTACAGCAGAAAAAAGAAAAGGAGGAGGAGTTTATTACCCGACTTCACGAMTTTGAGGAGGAGAATTGCATCTTGAAGGAACAGAATACCTCCCTTCAGAGAGACAGCWCCTCCTTTGATGAGGAGAAGCGGGASCTCGAAAGAACGAATATTCGCGTCGCTAAAGATGTAGCGGCCTTGAAGAAAACTCTAGAAAGACTGCARAAGGAAAGACTGGGATTCGAAGAATCGTTTTACGAGACGTCACAAGAAAAACARAAGCTGAACAAAACTTTAGAAGAATCGACGCGAGAAAATCAACAACTGAAAGAACAAGTACACACGCTACACTTGATAATACAAGAAATGGAGGACAAACATGCRCAAAAGTAAGCAGTCATCATTTTTACTGAGCAATTCTAGTTTCCTATGGTATATCGATAGAGGATATTACATGGGCACGCGGAGATACAGATTTTATCTGTCAAGTGTTGAAAAGATCTCTCACGAGTGAGCGTAGTGAAGATAACATTCGTATCTCCAAGCGACCATGTAACATTCTGTTTATCATATAATTACATACGAAAGCAAATTATGTCGTAAAATACTTTTTTTTCTTATACCTGGAAAGTATTATTTTCAGTAGAAAATACTACTGAAAATATCAACTTAAATAGAGAAATATATGTATTTCATAGATAATTACAGCCTTTTGCAAAAATTATGAGAATTGTCTAAATATCTAAATATCATAATATCCATATCCATATATTGTCCGGAACACGCGGGTTTGCTAAAATAATTCACTGTTGACATCGAGAAAATGTTCAGAACTACGGATAAGTCTGTCGCCAAAAAAAAACTAAACTACAAAGACAAGGGACTAAGGACATCGCGCGGGATTACCCATCATGCACTCGATATTATGATATTTATATATTTAGACAATTCTCATAATTTTTGCAAAAGGCTGTATCAACTTAAATAGAGAAATATATATGTATTTCATAGATAATTATATGATAATACAGAACATATCAAATAGTTCAGTGATATCCATTCTTCCATGATTGATGGTGATTATGATTATTATTCTCCATTCGTTTTTTTCCAGTCTTGCTGAACTAACAAACCAGCATCGTGAGCAGTTAGTACATGATGTCGGAAAGGCTCATTCGGTCGTCGAGAAGACTCAGCGGTCATTCGAGAAAAAAGAAAAAAGAATGAAAGATAAAACTGACAATTTGGAAAAACAGGTTTGTCCAGTTTTAAGAACAAGTTTCTTCAGTTTCTGAGAAAATTAAAGATTTTTTTTCTAAATCTGTCTATAAACAGGTTCAGTAAGTAGAGATATTATAATCTGTGTGATAGAGCAGTGTTATGTCTGTCTTGGAAGATGATTAGAAACTTATATTCTTGTCTTGTCTCGTGCAGGTTGCTGGACTGAAATTAGAGCTACAAGCTGAACGAAGCGAACGCGAGAGACAAACGACGAAAGCCGCTGTAAAGTCGGAAGAACTTCGTGATGTTCGCACGTCGCTAGATAAGTCTCTTCGTACAGTCGGAGAAGATGCGAGCAATCTCCGAACWATGCTGGGGAAATCTCTTCGGAGAATCGATAAATACACGGAAAGTACTCGAAAAGGACCACCCGTGACAGTGTCAGACTTGGACACCGATCAATCGAACCTCGACGAGGAGGTTCTTAAAGTAAACGGRAATCATTCGACGAAAGTCGATCAATCACCGAAAAACCATTTTCGCAGATCTTCGGCAAATTTACGAAGCCGAAGATCTCTCGGAAAATCTCCGGAAAAGGTAGTTCATCAAAATGGTGTAGACATAGAAGTTACGAATGGTCATTCGGAAGCCGATCTCTCGCCGACGCGTCGAATCCGACGATCCAGAAAATCAATAAATTAAAACCTTTACTATATATTAATTTTAAAAACTGCTGTACTGCGGGCAAATCCAATATCTTAATGATATTTTAATGAAATATTATATATTTCAAAAAACACTCTATTTTGGACATGCAAACTTACTGAAAGGAACAGAGTTTCTTTGAAATCCAAATGTAAATAATTTATCTAAACTTTGTCAGACAACTTTGTTTATATGGTATTTTTCATGGATGTATTTATACAGTTTTCTGTCACAATCTCAGTTCTGGCTTTCAGCGATACATAGACTTTAAAAAAGGGGAGACTGGTCATAGTGTGGGTAATATAAGCAGTGCGTTGATTTCAAGGTGTTAAATTATGATGATGATGATGATAAGTAAGTTAATAAATTTATTGTATGGAATCATCATCGTTTGCGAGTGTGAACGGTTTGTTAAGGGTTGAATGCTATACCAATAAAACRTACCAGTCATGTAATTTCCTGACATTAATTGATATTTGATTTTTTATATTCGTGATTTGCTTAAGTAATGCTCCTTTTGATGKCAATGTTAGTCTTTGCGATTGTCTATTTGATTTGTGGGTACCCTGTGTCCTTTYCTACTGATTTCCCCCTTTACCTTATATTCTTTGTATTAGATAAATGACATACTATTTATTTTTGGTACCAGGACAAAATCAATGATCAAGATACCAAACTAGCGGTGTGAGCTGAATCGATTTTTATATACATGATCATACAACATTAAGCAGAAACCGTTTTCCAATAACAAAATCGATAATGAGATTGTGTTGCGCGTTATTTCAGGATGAAAGAGAATCGAAAATAATAACATGCTGATAGGGTTGTGTGAAGAACATGATTTTGGCATTCGGTATTAATTTTAAGGTTTCTTTCGTGTCAACTATTTTCATAATGTGTTTATGATTGTGTTACTTTGAAAGAGCTTGAAAATCACAAGTATACGTCAACAGTCTTCCATTGGCTSATGACCTTCGCATCTACAAACGGTTTGTTTGATATATTATTATGTACTTTCTGTCTACAATGATTCCTCCGTTACTAAGGTAATCCATAACAAAGCGGACGACTGTAGTGCATTCAAAAGTGTTATGAGCTGATCAATATTAATTTTCATTTCGTAAAACCGTAAAGAGAAACATGATAGCTTGATATCAAGTGACTGGACTGAGATCTTTGAAGAAAACAACGCCATAATACACGAAATCTTTAGATCCATCAGAATAACGATAATCTTATTAATGTCAACAATATGGAAACTACACAAATCTAAAAACAACATTATCTAGAAGCTGGTGAAATGTCGCATGTTATGGCAAAGACAGAAGAGCGCGAACATCGAAAGACTATATCAAACGAGAAAAAAAGAAACGAGCAAGCGGTCAAGCTACCACGTATAGATAACAATGATACAATAAGCCTAATTAACTCGCAGTCTCTACAAAACCAGGCCGGTTTATTCGATAATTCAGATGAATACGACTTTTGTCGATCAGACGAATATCGACCGTCGTTGAATCGATGGGAAAGCGACGAGTCGATTGAGTTTCAAGAGGAAACAATTGCTAAACTCCGTCATTTAGCAGCGACGCTAGGCATCAGCCATGGCCGCTATCGAGGAAAATGTACCAGGAATTCACGATGTAAACCAGTTCAAGAGAGTTTTGTTAATGGATGGTGGAAGCAAAGCAAAAAATGGAAAAAACATAACGAAGAGACAAAGATATCTCACCATCACCATGACAACCGTATGGGWCAATGTACCGGACAGTATAGAATGAAACGAAATCCCGTAGTCAATGTACCGGGTATCGGATGTTCGTATAGACTACCTGTAGTAAGAAACAAGTTTGTTAAGTAGTGTAGATTGAGTATGAAACAGAGTAATTTTTGAGAAATGMGTATTATGTTATTAACTTTTATTGTTAGTTGAAATTGTATATTTTATATAATATATTAGTTTGGGAAACTTGTCGTGGTCATACATATAATGGAGGCCGATTTTTTTTATTGTGAGAGCGTGGCTTTGTAAGTTGGTCRATTTATTGGTCGCGAGTTTTGTTCATTGATTGATTGATTGAAARTGATTGATTGAGGTGTCTGATGATAGTGATGATACTCTCTGTATGTGTTCTCTTGTTTATCACYGACTCCTACACAATCGATWACTTTAGAACCGATAATCACTCGTMTTTACAATAGGCAAGGCAGCACCGACACATCTATAACTTTTATCATAACATTTCACWACGCAAAATAGTCATTGTTTTTTGTTGTTTTCGTAAAGATAGSCTTCACACATAACACCCACGACGTATTTTTTTCGTKAATTTTTCTTTCCCAGAGTGGATCAATATCATATATATTTACAATTTCCTTTCAAGTGAAAATTACGAATTTCCCATTTTCGTTTTGCACTTTATTTACACAAATCGGTGAAAGARGRCATTAGACAATGACACAACCTGTCATCCTGTTCAAATGGAAGTTAGAATTATCATTTGTATTCAATAGGCAATATTCCTGCCTCGCCACAGGAGATAACATCATTTTACGAACTTTAATTCCTTCTCATACGTGATATCATATACTGAGTGTATGGAGATGAGCAGCTGCGTCAAAGGATAAGATAATGGGACAAACTAGAAAGATATATTCGCTCTTTCATTGTGAAGTGCAAATATAAGGAAAGCAATTTCAAGTCTAAAAGTCATTGGAAGAGAAGACGAGAGAACTTGACGCTCCATTCACAATTAATAAAAAGAGGATAATCAAGCGAAAAACATGTTCAAGATTGAAACCAAAYGAAGTACAGTTCTCTCGCTTTGTAAAACCGGTTATTTTTAAGCTTCTTACACGTTTTAAGTCAACAGATTTGCTCTGAACTGAACGAAGTTATCATCTTAGCGCAACATTTACCTGATTTCCGCTACCTCAAGGTCTCGGCAAAATTAAAATCACCAAACGTTACAGTTATTACAGTGCTATATAAAGAAATGGAGAAGATAACATCGATATTGTCGACAGAAAAACGACCAATATATTCAAGAAATGCTGGATATTCAAAGCGATTTTGTAGTAAAAACTTSTCTTCAAATGAACAACTCTTTCTACCTGCAATATCAATGATGACTCTAAAACACCGCGACACAAATCAACGCAACCATGGTAGCAGCCAGCGCTACTATGGTAACAAGTACGTCGACAACATAGACTCGCGAAACATCGATAATAGAAAAAAACATGGTAACAGTTTCCAAAGCAACAAATTACTTAGCAACATAAAATATGAATCAGATGAAAGGGAAATTGTTGTCAAATATCGACTTGAAAAAGAAAAGGAAACTGAGAATATTAGCAAGATATTGATTACAAAACAGAAAAGAACTCATTTGAGAACTGTTTCACGACGAAGAACTGAAATAGCAAGCAGAGAACTTGGAGAGAGRCTGATCAAACGAGGTGTTACCCTCCCTACCCCTCCCCCGATAACAAACTGTGTTCCTAAGCGGGAGAGGGAGAGTCAAAGTTTCAATCCATCTGTTGTACATCAAAGATATAAATCTTTATCAGAAAGCAAATCAAAATGCTGTGAATCTGTGGAAGCTGCAGGTGCTAAGGCTCAGGACGGGAAACAGCCTAAACGATACGTACACGTTTACCTGTGTTGCTGTAAAGAATAGATTACTGACTTATCATGATCATGATCATGATCATCATCATCATCAATATTATCATCATCATCACATCATCATTATCATCACTATCACTATGATAATCATCAATCAATATGATTAGAATTATTGTAACCTTAATGATATTGTTATCTATAACTTAACTGATTTATAATCATCATTATCAATGTACACGTGATGTTATATGAATCGTTATCGGGAAAAAAAATGGGCTCCTAGCTTCGCAACCGTCATCAGTATCGGTCCCAGCCTCTCCCCATTAATAACGGTTGCGAAGGAGACTAGGGACTTTTAGCTAAAAATAAAAGCAATAAATGTCATAGAAGACACATGACAGCAATTCAGACAGTAGTAAGYTTGTTMCTAATCGATGTTTGCATTCACTTCTATTCCATTAGAGATATTGACATTAMTAATCAAAAATACCTGAGMACATCGGGACAGACTGTCAARAACATGATAAAGGTCATGTCRCCTTATGGAATTTCTTTCTATAGTTAATCGATTTATCGCTATGAATTCGAAATAACTGAATGTGTATATACAATATAAATTGCGTTGGTRCCATAGATTCGATATGKCCGCCATCTTGAAWATTTGAAAGGCATTWCTAAAACCCCGGATGTCATGGKCACCCCTTAAAYTCGATGCGAATTGGAGAAACGAAACGCGAAACGATTGAAGTCATTAGAACTCTGCACATGCAAGGTTCGACGTTCGAAARGGATAAAAGAAAGASTGCTGTGWTTTAATTGTTRWAAAATTGTAGTTGAGTTCTTCATCAATCAATAATTGCTATCTATTAATCCTAAGAATGTATATCACAAACACAGTGTGTAAATATCAACAGATTCAAAGGATTAAGGAAGCAGGAAGGAAAAGAGAAGATTTAGGCAGCTGTTTGTGAAAGGATAACATGACACGCCAAAGACAAATGCGGCAAATCAAGTAACACAAAAAAATCTTTTTGAATTTTCATGTATTTTTTTTGACTTGGAAATGACATCGATTTTATTGTTTCTTCAAAAGAAGCCTCTTTTGCACTGAAGTATTTGTCGAAATCGTTTTCTAAATTGTCTACTCATCGCGCCATAGATGACKGGGTTGCAGCCRGAATTTAGCATYGCAAGCCACGTAGTGATAGCAAAATATCGATCCGGCCAGGTGCACTCCTTGGTCAGTATACAAAATATCCCGATAAAATGTGGCAACCAACAGATAACAAACGTCCCAACGACAATTAACAGCGTTCTTACAGCCTTTTTTTCTTGTTTAAGCCTTAACAAAGCGTTAGGGTTAATACTTTTCTTTCTCAATGCCTGGATRTTTGGTCGTCTGAATGCGCTAAGCTTACGTTTAGGKKSCTTGTCAACGTCCAAAGATRTTTTTGAGTGTGTTTTTTGAAGRCAAGGAGTTGAGGTTGAGATATTATTTGCATTTTCTTGTCTTGTGTCARTGCTATGGTTTGTATTTTCATTTAGCTTCGTAGTATCACTTTCTGCTGTTATTGGTGAGCTGTGGTCGAAAGTTGCAACAGTAACGCGGCGGCGCTTTGGGGTRGCTTGAGGCGATTGCGAAGGGCTTTCCGACGTTACTATCACATCAACTTTTGATTGAGGCGTAGCCGAGRRRGATYCATCTTGTAAAGTKCCYTTCGTTTTATCGCTCAAAGGTGGTAGCCTGTTGTTATACCAATAATATGAAGSTTGTTGTTTGCTWCTAATTTCATCATTTTGCTGTCGATTTTGTTCTGTTTCATTACATTTTTCTCCGCTTTTTTGATCTTCTAATGGAAAGAAGACATCGCCGGAATGAGGGCTGTATGGTGCGGAATTTGAACTCTCATTACAAACATCTTTCTTTACTTTGGTCTGTTTACTCGAATAGTTTATTGAATAGTTCTCGGTATGGTGGACAATGCCTTGGACACCCCTGTCCTGTGGACTWCTGTCTCTGGYATAGATCCTTTGTGTCCATGCCTCAGTACTTTCACAATAATTATTGTTTTTAATTGTCATTTGATTGTCAATTAGCTGTTTCATTGAGCTTGAATTCAATGTMACGGAGGAGTCACTCTCCATGGATGAATTAATACCATCACAATTAGGCGAGTAATCGCTAGGAAACGTGTCCAAATAAGTAGTCGAACCATCGTTTGTTCCACTTTTGCTTCTTGTAGAATTCTGTTTAGTATATGCTTCAGTAAATTCTTGTGAGTTTTTGACATTTTCAACTAATCTTCTTCCCCCAAAAGACTGCATTCTTGGTGTTGTGTCATCAATGCTCTCAGTGTTGATATTTGTTTTCTTGGCTGGTTGTTTTTCTGGTGGAATTGTAAAATTGTCTTCATTTGATAGTGATGTATGGACATTAGTTGATCCTGTATTRCTTACACGATTAGCAGAGTCTAGTGAACCTACACTTATCGGCTCACAAGTACTTGAATCAAGTCTTTCTTTATGCTTTTTACGYTCTGAAAACCTTCCAGTAACTGGAACAATCCTCTTTGATTGCTTCCAGGCAGTCTTCAGTATCCGTGAATAGGTAAAAGTCATTATTGCAAAAGGAAAAAAGAAACAGACAACAAAAATAAAAACAGTACAAGAAATTTCAAGTTCCCAGTGGACTGTACATATAGATTCTTTCTTCAAAAAGGTGTATTTTGACCATCCAATGACCGGCAGAAGAGCAATAATCARGGAATGTAACCATATATAGATAATCATCCCAGCAGCCATCCTATTGGTCATGTACGAGGTATAATGCAAGGGATGTATGATAGCTATATATCGATCAATAGAAACTGCAGCTARTGTAAGCATTGAAGCCACACAAAACAATGAGTTGGCCATTCCATTGATGTCACACCAAACYGGTCCAAATATCCAGTCATATGTTATAGAAGAAACTAATGTRAACGGCATTCCAAGTAAAGATAACAACAGATCAGCACATGCTAAATTAACTACAAAAGCATTGGTTACAGTCTGTAATGTCTTGTCGATGTAGATAGCTAGAAGAATGAGTATATTACCAATGATACCAGATGACAGAATCAAGCACATACTTATAGCTTGTATWGCAGTTTCTCCAGTAGTTCTAGGGTCAACTGTTATAGATATCGTTGAAGATACATTGGTGTTAGAGCTGTCAAGAGCCATAAGGCTGCCTTAGAACTTTTCTAACATGATCTACAAGCTACTATGTAAAGCTTCTTTGATGACAGGCTGAGATTGACGACACTTTAGCATAAATTACGTAGTCTTTTGTTTGCGATTGAATTACCTAAACAACAGCACACAGCAGCATAGCTTACACTCCATTAACCCAGCTTTTCTCTTTGGAAATGTAACACAGTAGCTCACCAYATAACTGACCTTTTGACAACTATGAATATAAACTTCACTGAAGACATAGTGTACAGCTAGTCTGTGATGGTTTAATCTTTGAAAGACTAGGATTAGATTGTTTATTAATTTACTCTTTTACGTGTTTAGACGTTTGTTTGAAGTAACTTCGTAATATCCGYTCATCTGAGAACTAGTCACCTGTGCGCAGCCAGATTTTGAGCGTTTGAGATGCGAAACAAGATAGTCGTGGTCTTTTTTTGCACCTTTACAGACTTTACTCCGTGTTTCATCGTCCCATAAGCGTCTTAGCGTCAGAAAGATTCTGAATCATTCACATCRGTTTGCTAATCGGTCTCTTTTAAAACACAAGTTAAGCATCCAAACTTATTGTTCATAAAACCGRTGTTTGCATACAAATACCAAATGACATCATGAAATAACTCATCTTATCGGTSCACTACTGCGTCATTTCATAACCAAACTTACTTTAATTATCTTTTTGATAATTTGTCAACATACACTCACGAAATTGGTGCAGTTAGATAATTAAAAAAGTACTTTKCAGTGTYGTTGAATGATTTGTCAGCAGAAAAAACGTTTACAAGATGGCGCCCTGAGYTGATGGTCTGCTAGTAGTCACCGAAACATGGTATTGTTTGATAGCAGAATATTCTGGGTTTATTTTACATGAAAAGAATCACATGTATATGTTTAAAACTGAATGGGATTATAGCAATAAYGCTGGGTTCGTTTACATAGCGAAGGAAGCCTTATTACATCAAAGCCTTGAAAGTACAAAGTGTACATACGAGATTTTTCCTCGTCATTATTKTAATGTGTTTTGTTTTGCTAATGAGTTTCTTTTTAAGCATTAAATTTTATCTTTTCAAATTTCTTTCTTGCTTTAATCTTCTTTTTTCTTAATTTTCATTTCTGTTCTGTTTTCTCATTTTTCTAGTTGCATAATGCTCGAAGGTCTTGCTAACGATAGTTAACACACCGTTATTGCTGAAAAACAGTATGACTAGCACTACAAAACAATTAACTACAAACTTTACAAATGTATTTCGATGCTCGTAATGAATATTTAATACGATTTTTTCAAAGCCAACCAAACTCGGCGAGTTTAGACAACATCTGTCTCATGAATTCCTTCATAAAGTCGTCCATCTTTTCAATTAACTAAGGTAAGATGCGATAACATTTACAAAACTATCACCATATATTTTGATACTTGATAAATCTTTAGCTTTCAACTGAAATTTCTGTCAATATAGCCAAATATTTAATCTATATGGCATTCAATATTAAACAATCAAAAGTTGAAAATTTTCAACATATTATCAGGAACTATCCAGTTCCGATCTGCTCAAATCTGCCGCCTATATAAGAAAACTGAATGTCTTTTAACTCTTTAGAAAACTTTATTAATAGATAGGAAAGATATTGGAAAGTTCAGTTGGCAGTGACGTGAGTTTCACTGTAGAATTGCAAGCTTTATTGTGGGTTGATATAATATATACACTAAGAATCCATGAGTTTAAGTGACCATCACTTCTCAATTTTTGACTGTTGAAATCAAAGCTTTTTTTGTCTTAGTAAACTACCATATGTTCTGATATGCAAGTAGTACTCCCTAACCGCATAGCCTGAGATTTTCTTTACCTTTTTCACAGAGAAGTATTTCTTACATAGTGTTGACTATTTATCTTGCAATAATTCAGCTAACTTCGCCAAACCATCAGACATGATGTCGCTACTAGTCCTACTACTCCTATTACCATGGCAACGGGTCCAGGGGGAAAACGCGCAATGCAGCGTAGAAACGTATTCTCAGCATGGAAAAGTTCTGTCCAATTACATGATCAAATCTTTGACCATAAGCGATGGTTTTATTGGGTGCTTAAGTGAGTGTCTCGCGACGGATGGTTGTAAGAGCATGAATATGTTGTTTGAYTGTAACGARTGTCAATTAAACAACGTGACGCACTGCTCKTCTCCTGGTGCCATGGAGAYCAATGTCAACGCTGAATACTCGATTAACTTTAAGTATTTGAGTGGTAAGTCAATGTCCAYTGCGCATGCGCTTCTCTACTTAAAACTATCCCACATGGCTTACGATGAAGTGAAACGTTGCGAAATTTGACCAGTTACTACATCAACCAACAGCATTTAAAAAATCTCAGAAGCAATTTGTAATATTGCGTGCAAAATAGACGCTTACAACTTGGTTAACCTTATACTGTTTCGCCTTGTTGGCCAGCGGTGTGCGTTTTCACGCATGCTCTAATCTGTCAATTGCGTCTWCTGCTAGCTCGTTTGCACATGTCCGGACTCTTAGAGTCATAAGACGTTGAATACTGAAATCCTTATAGAATGTTTTGCTTGTTTTTAGAATGCTGTCTTTAAAGGAAGATSAACTCTCAAACAGCGTCTGTATTCTTTCCTCTGTATTTTGCACACTTAATTGATAAAAAGATCCTCCGACCGCAATAAATTGACATATAATCCACCAATCTTTTTACAATTAGTAAGATAAATAAAGTAAGTAAATTAACTTGGACGTGAGGGTTTTGAGGTCTTTRTGGTTCAGTCATTATGATTGGGTGCTGTCAGTCAATTGATAAGCGCAGCGATTACCTCTCACATCATACACTAAGTCACGGTTAGTCATAAAAGGTTATAGATTCAAATAATATCGATTGATTTAAAGTGAATTTACAGCACGAATAGGAATCGATTTCCATATCCATTCTCGATAATATATCGATATAATATTGTTTAGATATTCTCTACCARTAAACAAAGCTGTTGTAAGCAAAATTATTCAATTGTAGTGTGTCTGTAGGATTACTGGCTCAATGAACCATTTTACCCGATACTATACCTTTAGAAAAACTAACAGTGATGGAGTCATCTGATTGGTCAGTTATTGTCAGGTATTACATGTCATTAACTGCCTCGAAACCAACACTTTTTGTGTGYTGTTCGTTKTGTTAAGTCTAAAATCCAATGAAAAAAAGCTATTCTAAGATATCCAAGTCTATATAGATAGARGACTAGATGGCGGTGGCTGGRCTGCATCATCCTATAACATCAAAGGAGTTTTTAGCAACCAAATCACCAAACCAACTTCCTTATTGTTCCAAGCACGAAAAGCCAGCCACAGTTACAGCAYTGCCAAAGAGACAAGGGACRWCTCTACTACAAAGTTTAAAGCCATTTTTCAGACATTCGGTGACTGTTCAGTTGCTAAAAGATAATTCTACAGCCAATGAGCAATGTTTCAAGCTTGTCAGGGATTATGATGGTGAAGTAATTAACATTAAGGATACAAGAAGATTATATCGAAGGTATGAACACACTGTTACCCAAAATCGCATTAATCTAACACGWAGRAGGTTTCCATATATCAATGATYATCTATCGGACAGACAGACAAGTCCCTTCAGAGGAGTAWCAAGAGTCACAGATCGTTTCATTTCACCTCCAAGTTTGACAYGTTTTGACAATGTTTTTATGATAAACGATGGAATTTRTAATCGTAAACACAGCGAGAAGGAAGAAACACAACGGTTTTTGAATCCTTTATCAGAACAACGAAAAGAAAAGTCGAACATCAAAAGTGTTGATTTCGACAATCCAAGTTTATCTGATTTATCGGAGCTATCGATTATCGACGAACGATTATCAAAACGTTCTCGTGCTAACGAAACAGTGTCTGCAAGTTCAGAATGCATGAGCCCGCAAATCATTAAAATCATTCCACAAGTAAAGGAGCCAGCGGTACGCGCACACGTGACTAAAAAGGAAAGTAAAAGAAGGAATAAATCACACGTGGCATGTGCCCCRCCCCCTTCACCGGCCTTGTCTAAGTACACACGAGTATCTAGTCATAATGGGACCTATCTAAAGCCAAAAAGTGTGCTTTTCCTACAATAAATGGTTGTACTCATCGACAAGTCTATGAACCACCTCACCAATGGAAATCAGAATGCCAATATCATTACGTCTGCAGTATTTTAATGGCGCGGTTTAGTAGGTGTACTAGAATGATTCATGAGATTGCCATGGAAAACTGCCGGATTAACAGAACTTTGACTAAGAGAACTATGTATGTAAACTGATAGTTGGTCGCGTGAAGAATTCAGATGAGTTAGAATAAAAAATGAAATACATTGGTTTTACATGCACGCGATTGGTGAATCACGAGTGTCTCGTGATACAAAAACAGACCACGGAAAGTTCCATGCTCGATCGCTACTGTATAWATGTTAACTCATCATAAAAGCACGCCATTGTGGACAACAATAACATTACACCAAGACGACAGAACACGGTATACTGGGTTTTCCCTTCATTTAACTATAAATTCACGCACATTGTAGCGTTTATTCCGTAGTTTAGTTTCTTTATAAAAACAATCTTTTTGTTATTTGTTTGAGCTTTGGTTTCAGTAACCATAACATGGAACAGGTGCACTCGGYGAGAAATTGATAAAGTTACTCCACACGCAATGGTGTTTACAATATTTGCTTCTTTAGCCGAATCTCGCTCTATAGCGATTTTTCTCCGTTCATAAACTTTTTACCGCGATGAAAAAATAATGGTTCAACCATAGTTAATATTAACTATGGCTCAACAGAAAAGCGACACACTGTTTTTAAAAGCTTTTAAAATACACCTCAAACAAAGGAGCTTTTTATTCTCGCTCCTCGTTTGTATCTTTATGGTGTTTATTCCTTAAAACCTTTCCCCAAAAAGTTATTTTYATCATAGTTAGTAACTATGTTTTCATAAGACGCTGTCTAAACAGCAAAAAAGATCATGACGCACTAAACAAACTGAAGCCAGGACAAACAAGAGAACGCCCACAGTTGTAGTATTTGTAATCTATTTTTTGACATATTTTGTTTTATATTATCAGACAACTAGTTTTTCTGAGTTGACATCTTTTATGGAAAAGAAAGGCATTTGTATACCAAAMAAAGAGTCAAGAAGCTATAAAAATTCAACAACGTTGCGGTGTTCGTTTGAATTACACCRCATCAACAATAGTAGACCGTCTTTTTTGCGGTAAAACAAGACGAAAGACCRTTGTTGACAATACGAAGTGACAGCGATAACTCATGTTCAACGATGTCATTGTTTATATTAATAACATACAATTACCGTGCTACTTTAACAACACAATTAATAATTAGACATTAACCAACTAATAAAATAGGGCTATTCATATGTAAATAACTCGATACAAAACCACCAAAAAACACTGACAAATCTACATAYTCAGCKCCCAGAATACGGGTAAACAGCATTGAGAAAAGACGCCCAGTAAAGCGACAGTGAATCAGTAGAATCACAGTAGAAATCATCAGGTTAGGAGTATTATAATGTAAGGCAAGATATACTCGTCAAGTGGGCAACAACACGCCACATTTCCGAAGCGTTAAACAAACAGTGGATTTATTTTCCTGTCGATAAACAATGACTAGAAATGACCACAACGAAAGACAGCGATCAAGACGGACATCTGACTTCAGTGTGATTAGTCTGAGCTCAAGAAAACCTGGACTTGAGGTAATCCAGGAACAATACGACGAGGAACATTTAATATCGCTAAGCGATAAACAGTTGCAGATTTATGATTCTCACGCAGTSGATTATAGTAGGTACGCAATCACAGCCAAAAAACATGCAAAAGTAAAACCTAAGAAGACTAAAGAGACKTCCAAAAGCCTTAAAACTGAAAAACTTTCAGAAGACAYAAAACAAGAAAAAACAGGAACACCATCAAGTTTAGAGGRTAAACGATGCTCTTTCGATTCGTCGATGTCATGTCTTTTCCCCCGACAGCCAASTCACGACACTTTAGCATGTTTTCTGAAATATTACAGAGAACAGAGACAAAAAGATCAAAGAATAAAAAACGTTCAATCTCGCGCTAAGGTCAAAACTCCAATAAAAACAGAGAAAAAGCCAAACATTCCACGAAAAGATCTAATTTTACCACCGATTGTACGACGTACTGTAAACACAGGGAATCCAAAGACTAAAATCCGCCCTGAAAAGAAAGTCAAGCAGCATCTCCCTAAGGTTGTTGAAAATCAGAGGAGCCAAATACATAATGTTGACGCGGGGAAAGATACGAGGTTTGAAAAKCTTGTGTCGACATTGCAGCCAGTTTATAATGGTAAAACTAGTTCACTTACTGATATCACCATGAAAAATGGTCGCAGTTATACCGTTTGATGAATAAATGGAGCCAACAAGATCGAAAAAAAACTGGCATGTTAAGACTGCTTAGACTTTCGTGGCAAAGTACTAAGGAACGATATTTACATCATTTTAAGTATAAATTTAGGGGGAAAACAATCTTTGAGCGATACCAAACTCTCTTGGCATCAAACCAAACCGACGAGTTGCGAGATAGTGAGAGCAAAGGCGGGAYARTATTAMATYCATTCCATTTTATATTTGAGATTGATAATTTTATTATTGATTATGATATGTCCTTATAAACAACGCTCATTACGCGAATAAAACGTGACATCACTAGTCTTTCGTCCATAATCCATTGCGCTGCGTGTCCAGCCTCCTCTGACGCACATGACCTCAAAAGAATTTGCATATGAACCGTCTTTCTGGATGAGTGACTAAGAAAATATATCCAATCGTTTCAATTATAACAGCGGCCTAAAGGATAAACGAACAATGGACTAACAAACTACCTGCTTACTACAAGGGTTCATTATAAGATGAAGAAGAGCGAGAAAAGGGTTTAACTGTATCCATTGAGACGGTAGGAAAACAAGCCAAGTATATTGTAAAACTGTAGTTATCGTGACGACCTTTGTTGTGGGTCGATCGTCAACAGGTACAAGATTAATTACGGTGTATACAAAAAGAACACAACTATTCACTTAGAAACATCAACTGCTATACACGGTTTTGCTGTTCAGTACTAATACAAGAGTTATCGTTTCCAAGCTAATTATCGTACATTCCTGAGGACGACAGGACACCTTGGATACCATCACGTCGCTGCTGTCAGCAAAAGGCAAACAAAGCTATGGTTATTGTTTTGAATTCTTGTATTAAAATTGGTTTGGTTTAATAATTGCTGGTGAACAATTGTACGATATGGGATTATATTAAATGTATAATTGACAACACGGGTATATATCATCCCTGCTGCCATTATAACACAGACTATCTAATTACACTGGTATAAACATGCTGAGAAAGTCTCTTTTAAAAGCCAGCTTTGCTGAGCAAATGGACATGAATCACGTCAAGGGAAGCGATATCATTAATCTGTATAAAAAACATACGAAAGAAGGAAACGAGAAACAGCGAAGAATTCTTGAAATACAACGTGTTGCTGCAAGGAAGAATGACACGCGACACGCACACCCACGACTTCCTCGCGTGAACAACAGAATTCTACTCCCTCCTATCGCTAGTGAGACAAGAAGAAAGAAAGATAGCAGAACTAATGGAGCTACTGATAAACAACAGCAACAACGAACAATCGGATTGCCTCAAATACAAGCAGATAAGACAGAAAGACAGCCTGTATTTGATCCTCGATTCCATAGTCTGTTGTCTTCTCTGATAGAAGTTTCTAAACCATTAAGTCAAGTACAAAGATTTGCACCACCAAGAAGACTGACATATTCAACTTTACAGAAGCGACTTTAAGGTGCATCTTGCATTGATTGACAAGATTTAGATAAAGCACTCTATACGTGCATGGGTCACTAATATATCTTGCAATATTGTATATAAAAATGCCATATATAGCAATGCCAGTAGGCTGTAAGCATACATTTCGTTATTGTGATAATAATAATTATAATGATATATTTATATGATACAATCGATGGTAAAGATCAGGAATACTTTGCGATTAGACACAAAACAAAGCATTATGGGAAAAAGTATTTTTGTAGTGGAATGGAAGGAATTGGAGCGAGCGGAGCAAGCTTCGCACGAGCTTCTCTTTACAAGGTAATGATAATAAAATGAATTAAACTTCACTATCATACTTTCCCGCTGTCTTATAATAGTAAGCGTCCTTTTATCAAAACATTGACCTTAATTATTCATGACTCCGCAACAACCGCATAAGAATAATTATTACCAATCCCCTTCGTTTTAATGAATCGCGAGTAGTCTGGGACTTCTAGATGAGTGCATCATTCTTAACACCGCTTGGGTTATTAGCGCGATCATTAATCCTATACATATAGTATACATGTTTGTAAGTCTCGTATGTCTACGAAGGTACCAACTCTACAGACAACCTACTAACAAAGCGAGTTAGCCCTTAACAAGTAACCGCGAGCGATTCGAGGTAAGCCGAGTAGAAATGACGAGAACTAAGTTGTTTTGTTGTAAACACTTTAACATGACAGGAACAATAGCCCAACATGAGGCGAGCTAAGTCTGTCAAGTCATTTCGAGTCGTTCTCTATCGCTACAAGGTTTAATTAAACTTAAAAAATCATCAAAGGAAGGTTCAATGTTTAATCTTGTGCGACACGTTGCTTTTATTTCAGTCATTTAATATATTTTCATTTCAGATTGAAGAATTTCGCTTGTTTTCCGGTTAAAACAATTTCATGTCAGTATTTAACGCGGAGAATCGACATTCATGTTATTAATATTAAGCAGTAGTCTGACGCTTTTGTCGGTTTAAATAATTTCAATAAAAGAGTTAGTTGAGAATACACAAGGCGACAAAATTTCAAAATAACTTATCGCGGCTAATATGTTAATTTATGCTGAGTTCGGCAGGTGTAGCGTCGATGTGGTTGTGATCAGCTACCACTACTTGTTGAATAATGTCAAAACTAACACCCATATTCGGCTCATTTTTTCTTGAACTCCGATAAAACCAACCAATAGTCAAACCGGTGATTTTTGGAGTATTGAGATATCCCTTTTTCTACTTTTCGATTCCACTTGACTTTTGTTTACATAATTGTACGTAAAAACAATAATTTTTGTTGCTAGACTGAGTTATACTTGCTGAACAGAGTTTCAGTCGGTAAACCTGCCCAGTTTTCTTTGTCTTAACATATTACCTTTTCAAGACTTTCAAAGGCTGCAACGAAGCCTAATCGTTACACTCGTAGAATAATGAAAGAGAGGTCTGTTCGACGGATATCAAAGTCTTAATCCTTGAAGTTTCGTTTGTAGAAATGTTGATATTTATTATTATTTTTTTAAAAATAATAAAGACATTTAAAGAATGCAAATCTTCTGTAAGTAAACGCGTGGTCAATGTACTTTAAATAAAAAGCCTGAAAAAGCCGCAGTGATGCTAAGAGTGAGGAATATTCCATGGCAATTATCAAAGCCATCGGTAATAAAACTTTCCTGATAAATCTATAGAATGATTCATCAGATGGTTTCTTATGGTTTCTCTCTATCGCTGGTTTTATGGTCAAGCGCTCTGTGTTTTGCGCTGTTGTATTCATTTGGCGGCCGCCAACTGTTACCATCAATGACAGAAATCATAGCTTTTAGGATTTTTTAATTCCTAACTTCCCATGCTTCAATCATGTATTCATTATGTATWTTATTAGTGAGCAGCTCAGGTTTTCTTATAGTGCTTTTACTTGGTCTGCGGTTTGTGTCTTTCAGTATTGTCAAAACTAAGGGTTTTGCACTTGCAGGGCTTGCACGGTATATAGCACTGAAAGCAAATGTTAAACCATAATCCTTCTCGTCAGGAGAGCTCTTTTCCTGATTATCAGCAGAGAGATGGAGAGATTTTCAGAAAAAATAGCTCTTCCAGAAGTAAGGCAATAGACTTTCTTTTTTATCTAGAGTGGTACAAACAAGATAGTTGTTTTCTTTTCGACGACGAAAACTTTATAGTTTTATAAGATGATCCAGTTCGTATATATAAACCACCTGTCAGACAGAATAGCTCATTTACATTCCATGCGGTAGATTACATTAAAACAATCCTGGCTACAACTCTGTTCGTTTTATTAAATGACTGTAAAGTAGCCTATATATAGAAAAATCAGTGAGTACTTACAAAATGACTTTTGAATCGAACTAAAATTAACATGATATATCGCAAATTGGATGATTTTCGCGCGCAAAATGATATTAAAAATTTTATATGTTTTCCGCGTGGAAACTGTCAGATTTCATTTGATAAGTTGCATTAGAAGTTTCATAAGCATTGAAATCTAAATCTCTGTCATTTTAAAACCATTTGTTTTTTATCTAGACTGCTAGACCATCATAACATAGTTTTCAGCTGAATTCAGTATGTGAAGTATTTCAGTTTAAAGTGGACCAATGAACCGTTAGATGTACAATCTATATAGACACTAGGAGTTTTTCACATGGCAATAACCTCGCGATTCCCTTAAACGGATTGAGTCATCCCTATAATTACAATCAATGTTCACATCGCTTGGTTCTTCTATACATTTTTACTTGTTTTTGGTGCAAACAGCAGGGGGATGTTGGCAGATGACGCGACGCGCTGGTGTTATAGAAAAGATATTTTTTACAAGCAGTGAAGGGTACTTATTCCGTGAACCAGAATATATGTACTTAACCAGTGAAATAGATTGAAGGTGCTAAACTCGTGAAACACCTTTTTGCGTCTCACTTTTTCAATTCTGAAAAAACAAAGAGAAAAAACAATATGCATCCATAACATTAAAAAAAAAACATTTGATCTAAAATAAACTGCAGCTACTTCAAATAAAATCCCATGCTTATTTTTTCACTCTTTTTAATAACTTGGCTTCATTCTTTTTCGTCCTGATATTACAACAGCTCCCCCGAAACATATTTCTATTGACGCATACCATAATAGTCGCTTCACGCAATTGTATCGATCGATCACGCTAAGTGTATATTGAATCGACAACCACTCGTATTCAAAGACAACCTCTACAACGACAAATTTTGAATGACTTCTTAGGTTTTTTGGTTAGCAAACATCACATGCAAATTATTTACAGCTTTTAGCAGCTTTCTTAAAGCTTTAATAGCCATCTCTTTGTTGTTGTCGTTGTTGTTGTCGTTGTTGTTGTTGTTGTTGTCGTTGTTGTTGTCGTTGTTGTTGTCGTTGTTGTTGTCGTTGTTGTTGTCGTTGTTGTTGTCGTTGTTGTTGTCGTTGTTGTTGTCGTTGTTGTTGTCGTTGTTGTTCAGCTTTTTACCTCTTTACTGAACGGTAGCCGAATATAAGTCATAGCTATTACGGTAAATCCGAGCATCATTTATCTTGCTGTTCTTACAATGACAGCACTATGTTTTTTACCTTCAAGAGTTCATTGTCCTCATTCCGGCCGTTTTGGACCGTTTTGTCAAGGACTGTCAAACATACGGACTCAAAATACCCTCCAGCAGAGGAATTTGTTCGCTTCTTCACTACACAGTGTCTAGATGCCCGGCAGCCGGTCACAGTCTCTAAAAAGCTCGGTGCCCGGCAGTCCAAAATTTCTACAAATGACAGCCAAATAACTGTTTCTGTTGAAACCAGATTAGGCAAAGTTTGTTTAGGAATACTAAGCGATTCTTTTAAGCAGGCTTACTTTGAATAAAGCTCGCTGGTCTTTGCTCGGCATAGTATACAAAACACCTTTATCGTGGCACTYARAAATTTTCCGTCGAAACTTGRCTTAACAATGGTCACGCTCTCTTTCTTCAAGTCGGCAGAACGGCTTTAAACAAGCAAATCAAACTTTCTTAACTTGATTTTCAACTCAGTAGAGCGCTATTTATTTCCTAATCTACTTTGCCGTGTAGAGTTTGACGGTCTTTCCTTGACACGTAATTCTTGACTGCCGGTGACGGTCTCTAAAAAACTCGGTGCCCGGCAGTCCAAAATTACTCCAAATTACAGCCAAATAACTGTTTCTGTTGAAACCAGACTAGGCATAGTTTGTTTAGAAATACTAAGCGACCCATTATGTAGCCTGAAAATTTGATCAAAAGTTTAGATCTCTTTTCTTGACTTAYTGCTCGTGATAGTGTGACAGGTCACGCTAAACTGAAGTGGCGGGAAATTTTGAGCACGTGAAAAGAGAAAGAGAGAGAAAAGAGAAAGAGAGCATGACTTTGCCTAGTCTGAAACAGTTATTTGGCTGTAATTTGGAGTAATTTTTAGAGACCGTGACCGGCTGCCGGGCATCTAGACACTGTGTCTTCACTATGCAGTCATAAATCCTAACTCTTTATTTGGGAATCAAAACTCCTCAAAGCACGAAAACACATATACTATATTTATCAATTTTGGAGCCAAAATAAACCATAATATTGTAATAGTGTTGTTATTTAGACTAACTTTTTCTCTGTTTGACATTCAGTGATATAAATCAAAGTTATAAATCCAAAAGGTCTTTTGATCAGCAATGAGCATAGTAATTTTAAAATAACAATTACGATTTTTAGATGTGGTGTATTTGACATGTTTCGCCGAAACATGTCAAATACACCACATTTAAAAATCGTAATTGTTATTTTAAAGTTATAAATAGAACTGAACAATGGCTTACCAACTGAGTTGATCCTATTTCAGATATGAAGTGAAGTTCTAATTTATACGAGGAACATAGAATCAGATGGCTCTCTAGTTAGTTCCTTGCCATCGGGTCATTGATGTTTATATAGTAATCATAGCATGACACAAGAAGAAGAAAGAAGCCAACGATTGAATGCATTCATCTGTGGGTAAATTATTACTGTTCGATTGACCAATCACAGACCAGGAAGCGATTGTAATTGTGCCATGCATAAATACTTTTCCTCAAGCGGCATATTTGGACTATAACGCAAGGACGCTTCTTTACAATCATGGTTTTCTTCTATGGTCTGTTAACATGTTATCCCTGTGAATTTTAAACGCTCTTTTAAATCGCTATTAGCGAATTCACCAACAAGGCTCGTTTGTAAGTAATCTGATCGCACTAAGCGCCATCGATCAAGAGGTTCGCTTCAATCAAGCGAGCAAGCTAACCCGACCTCGTAACGCCTTGTTCCACTCGATTTAGAAACAGCTGAGTTTGTTATGGCTCGAGAAGGCGATATATTTGATGGTTAGTATAATTCTATTATGTTTTTCTGCCTCAGCGATGTGAAGTTTTGGGGTCGTTGTTTGTTTGTATTTACAATACGCGATTCATTTTGATGTGTATGTACTACAGTAGGAAACGCTGTTCAGTGCATCGTGTAGTAGTCCGAGATACAGGTGCAAAACCCTTATAAAATAATCGAGAATACGGTCATGTATGGATAACTCGCGATCCTTCAAAATATTATCGTCAAGCATGTATAGACTTAAATATTCTACATCAACTACAAACAAAACAAATATAAAGGAAAACGTGAAAGCTATTGATATAAATAAAATAAGTAGATATGAACTTACTTTAATGAATAAAATACAAGTGTAAAGAGATATTGCTGTTACCACCGTTTGACAGCTAAGTGAATTTCAAAATTTATTATCATCACGAGGCAAACTATTGCTTGTGTTGAATGTACTAGTTTTTATACGAATTGCTTAAAACAATCAAAATCATTGTCAAAAACACCAAGAGTAGTTATTCTTTGATCTACGTGAGTATATTTAAAGTAAACCTTATAATTTGAATTTGTTTTGGTTGTGACCCGTGATGTTTCTTATAGTTGTGATATAATGTTTAATCAGCATATACAGCCTATTGCAAAAATTATGAGAATTGTTGAAATATCTAAATATCATAATATCGAGTGCATGATGGGTAATCCCGCGCGATGCCCTTAGTCCCTTGTCTTTGTAGTTTAGTTTTTTTTTGGCGACAGACTTATCCGTAGTTCTGAACAATTTCTCGATGTCAACAATGAATTATTCTAGCAAACCCGCGTGTTCCGGACAATATATGGATATTATGATATTTAGATATTTCGACAATTCTCATAATTTTTGCAAAAGGCTGTATCGTATATAAGTACTGTATATATTATACAACTGATTTAATTGAATTATTATTACTAAAATATCACTTTAGTTTTCCAAGTTAAGTTGTTTTTTCGTTTCTGTCGGTTTTTTCAAAAACGTTTTTTTCTTGTGAACCTGCAATGTTTTGACTTAGATGAGGAGGATATTTTTGAAACCTTTGAGAAAACGGAAGCATTCACCTCGGGACTTCTTGATAAACCATAAAAACAAACACTACTAAATCATAGCTAATGTATCAGGGGAAAAAGATTATTTAGAATTTTAAGGTTTCACATTTAAATACACAGTCAAAAAAAAATTAATAAAAAATTAAAATTAATAATATCAGCTAATATCGCGATTGAAATACAAAAAGACGACAAATATAACCATTGAATTTACTTTCAAAACTGTGAAGAAAGTTGTACATCGAATGAGAAACCAAGATAAGAATTCATATGACAACGTTCGATTTGATTCCATTATGTTGCAATTTTCTCACATCAAATGGAYTAATAGTGCATTAATGTCCAAAGTAATTTTGCGTTTTTGTGATAAAAAGAACTTTTTGATCACATTTCTATCAATTATGTGTAAGGAATCTCTTTATTTTTKTAAGTTGGTTTTCATGTGGTTGTATTTTTTATCTCAGAACATATCGGTACCCTGCGGCCTCTGYAGGCGGTTCCCAATTTACCCTGAACTGCCTATAAACAGCCATCCACCTTGATGACGTATTAATACGACCGGTCGATATAAGATATATTGGTCGTTCTATACGTGTATTAACAACAACTCTATAGTAAAGATAACATATTTTGTTCACATTGAAACTTTTTTTATGCCTGTAGATATAGGAAACCATAACTAAATGTTTCATATATTCAGCTAATTAGGACTGCATAGTAACGCTAGATAAATTAAGATAACAAATATCAATATACAGTAATGGCCGCCTTTGCTGTGAAGGTAAATTCATGACTTTATGTTTGTTACTCTGATATGGAAATAAGACTCAATCAACTACTACATCGTCCGGAAGAGTTGGAGTTTTTAATATGTATCAATGTCAAAGTCCTGTCAGTTTTTGACAATTTATAATCACTACCATCGCTYTTTTAGTATTCTCATCAGTGTCGTTTTTTCTGTCTTGTTTATTTTCGTTGTTTCTCTTGATTTTGTTAGTTTATTTCCAAAGCTTTTGATGTTTTGACTTCATGAACACTATTACAAACACAATATTCGCGGTTCRTAATTATAAAGAAACTGCTCTTGCGTCCATATAAGGTGCTCCAGGCAAAAAAAGAAAAAGAAAAAAAAAAAGCGACGACGCACCTGCTCGATGTTACAATCTGAGATCGAACAAATTACCACGCAACGTTGTTATCAATTCAGTCTTAATCTTGATATTTAYTGATTTCTAATTTACCAAAACGGAAATTGGTTTTACTAAACACAGATAACGGGATAACATGACAAGAAGGCAGGGGAATAAGGGGAAAACACTGGCCTGGGTGAWAAAATAACAGGGGAAATAACTGGACTTACTAACAAATCAGGCAAKCCAAACCAGCCAACCCGAATCAACGAAACAAAAAGCCATAAACAAACAAACGTAAAAAAAATGTAGTTAAATGTTCCAACCAACACACAAACAACCGAGGCCCAGAACAAGAGCTCAAAACAAACAAACCATATTGAAACGTACAGTAAGAAACATCTAGCAAGCATTAAATACATCTTTTATATAGTTCTGTTTTGCTTGTAGAGTTTGAATATGGTATTCTTATATAGTTCTGTTTGCTTGTAGAGTTTGAATATGGTATCGGTAAAGTTGGATTCTTCCTGCAAGACATCTTACGGAAAGAACAACTGACCAACGAGGCAGAAAAACAACGTCAAGAGTGCATCTGGCAGCTTCAGAACATGTCTAATACACTGCACATGTTTAAGAACTACCCTACATACGAGAATACACTCAATGCAGGGTTATCACAGTCTAGTCAGGCTTTGAATGATGGGCAGGATGAATTCGGTGTAACTGACATCCCCCGTAGTGGTTCTCTGCCTGATATACCGAACAATGCTGATAACCGACCAAAAAAGGTGCTTATAACTACTTATAACTATATAACAACTTAACTGAATGATAAAATATACAGAAATAAGCTAGAGTAATGGGTGTTGGTTCCCCTACCGTGATCAGTCAAAAGAGAAAAGATAAACCCCTAAAAACACATAGGCTCTTTTTCTCGAAGTAAAGTTGTTTAAACCTTTAAACAATGTATGGTTTGTTAAAAAGGTAAAATAARCATAATGATGACAAATCTTGGAACTGAAATCTGGGATTCACCAAAATTTAATTTCCAACTGTTTTATCTATTAAAATATCTAAAATAACGTGTTCATAAAAAATCTTCGTGAATAATAAAGGTTGCCATTTTAAAACAAACAAATAATAACATTTCAACTTAAACTCATAAATCTTGCCTGGCAGACTAAAGGCGTTCAGCAGGACAGCGATTTCATCCTTAGCGACATGCGCGAGCTGGTAATCTATGATCCAATCGAGGAGGAAGACGAAGAAGAGGAAGAGGAGGATGAGGATGAGCTCGACCCCCTTCAACTCTCCACAAGCTCGAGGTCTTCAATGAAAAGAAGTCGTAAACGGGATAGCGCTGTGTTGTTCGATATTTCACTGGGTGACCTCGAAGACTTTGATCTTGCTGGATTCCTGACCGAAAAGCATAGTGRGAAGGATTGGTACTGCGTCCTAATGGATCAGCATCTTTGTCTTTTCCCTTCCCAGGATGCAAATGAGCTTGCTTATGATGTCGTCATMTTGCCATGTTGTCAGATCTCCCTTGACGACAGGCTCATGCGAACCCCTGTATTTCGACTGACTCAACCTGGCATGGCACCATGGGTATTGGTTGCTAAGGATAATGAAGAGCTCAAGGAGTGGATAAGTGCCTTAACGACAGCTGCATCAGGTGGTAAATACAGCCTGACGTCATCTAGTAGTAATACTGCGAAGTCAGTGCGAGTTGGAGCCAGCGGTATGCATGCGATCACTGAGRAAGAACCAGCTGAGGAGATGCAGGAAGAAACTAACCATGAATCCACTAAAATTGTAATTACTGAAGAKATAACAAAAAATGAGGTAAAACATGACAGGCTCTCTAAAAAATATAAACATCCTAATATCTACTGATGATAATAATCAAACATAAACCCAAATATGGAGTTAAAAATGCAAAATATTTGAATAAGGAAAGGGCATAAACCACTTCGAAAAATATATATAAAATACAGCCGTTAAAAAACAGCTAACATACTTATTAATAATCCTGCAGTCTATATATCGATTATCAAGTTATAATAACAAAAATTATTTAATTATAGGAACCCATAAGTTTGGAAACGGAATATATCGCAGAGAATAGTGCCAGTCCACCACTTGAAACTCTCCCAGAAACCCCCACAAGTCCAGAAGTATTTGGAGAAGAGATTTACGAAGCTGTCGAGCAGAATGACGACTTCGAGGATGATGGATTTGCAACAGATGAGTTCGACAGTGGTTCGTCGGAAAATGAAGATTCGACTGGAACCAGCCCCAAAGGCTCACCCAAGCTACGCACGAAGCCGAAGAAGAAACCCAACCAGTTACTGAAATGGCTGAAGAAGAAGACGCGCACAAAAGATCGTTTGTTTTCCAGTCCTAGCGATGGTGTGGCTTTAGCTGGCTACGTCCATCGGCTTATTAACAACGAGTTTTCTAAGAGATGGTGTGTGGTACGAGAAGGAAAGATCTACTGCTACAAGAACATCAAACACGAAGACACTGAGCTAACTCTGGAGTTGGAAGGAACTGAAATCCGAGCAAAAGAAGAACCAAAAAATCGTTATATCATCCGCGTCTTGAAGGATAACGAACGACTTCTTACATTACTCACCAAGAACACGAAAGATATGGATAAATGGAAGACAGCGCTGCGAATAGAATCAGGTTTTATCAAGCTTACTTCGCCGGTTGATTCTAGTTCTGGTGTGTTTGATGACCCAGAGGGTGACTACATTACACCGATTACCCCGGTTGGTTTACAGAAGGACCCCAAAAGTCCGACCTTAGCTAGAAAAGTTATTGAATCTACTAGTGACTCTGWGTCCAATTGTGATGACGAGGATGCCTATCTTGAAATAAAACAAGGAAACAGTGAACAGGAATCACTTGGTCCTCTTCCTAGTATTCCAAAATCCCCCGAGTCCGAGTCCCTTGGTCCTCTTCCCAGCATTCCAAGTGGAAAGAAATCTCCAGATCCCGATTCTCTTGGTCCACTTCCTCCACTTCCTGTTGATGCCAAGCCTCCCGCACTACCACCCCCAAGAAAATCTCCTGTACCTCAAAYATTCACAGAGGAGAAACATGAAGAGAACGACGAAGAGTTGGAGGACATTTATGAGGAAGTGAAGATCATACCATTGCCWGATGCAGACAAGCTTTCGCACTGGCACAAAATGAGTCTTGAAGAACGAAGGGAATACGAGGAGGAAAACAGAGGTTTGTGCAACTTATTTATTTAAGGTTCTTTAGTGGGCGTRTGAATTCGTAAACGAAGCTTGTTTTTCTATTTCAGATGTCCCATCGTCAGATGTTCTTATTGTCAGCGACAAGAAATCTCAATTTAGACCGCCTCCTCTTGTCCGTAAAGTCTCTTTCGATGAAAAAGTCGAGGTTGGTTGCTACTCGAACCATGTTCATCAAAATTAGTAAATGTTTATTTTTTGTTATTAAACTTTTTCAGGTCATTAATACTCATCTTCCTAAGTCAATGCAACCAGAGGCAGTTGTACCCAACGGAGATCCAACAGAAATTCCACAGGGTTCCCAATCAACCACCAAACACCAAGCAGAAGTGAGTCCAATGCAGCAACCAACTGCAAGGGAGATGAGAAGTCTTCCACGTAAAACACTTAAAGAGAATTGGATCAAGTCTTCGAATGCAGAGGATAATGAGACGCCGAGAAGTAAAGTGTTAGGAAGTGACAAAAAGATAGGTTAGTACTTTTACTTAGTACGTACGCAGGGAGGGTGGGGGAGGGAGGCTGGCAGGAATTCCAGAATCTCCCCTTCCTTTGCAGAGAAAGTCTTTGGAATATCAATAGGTTAACATATTTTGGGAAAGTCCAACAGCTAGTTTGTTTGGTGTGAATCCAAAACATAATAGTAGTGCWGCCAATYGTCTTCACAGTCTTACYGTTCTTCTTTATAGAGCAAGATAAAGAAAGAGAGATGCTGCAGAAAGCAGAGGAAGAGTTCCTTAATTTGGCCAAACAACCTAAAGAGAAAGCATGTACAACGGTTCGTCGTCCATCCATTGTCGAGAGGAACAGACTTGCTTTTGAGAACAGAAAGAGAGCAGAAGCACTGGCTCAGTCGAAAGTCAAACCTCGAAGTCAGACTCTAAACAAAGAAAAAGCGGATTTGCTGGCGATGATTGAGTTTCAGAAGAAACGAGTCGCTRTTGCAAAAGATCGAAAAATATTTTTCTCTTTTTCCAACACGACGACCAACACKGCAGTGGCTGAYGCAGAAATGGAATTTCATGAATCTCAACTTGGTTTGGCTAAAGCCAAGAAACGAATAGCAGAAATAGACAATGAACTYAAAAACATTGAATTACTAGAATTTAAGAATAAGAAAACAGATGAGAATAAGCAGAAAGAACCAGTAAAACCGAAAGATTTTAGGCTGATCACGGATGACAGTGACAGTGCAGAGCAGGTTAAAGCAACTGATGACAAGGATGGAAATAAAAATACAGTTAGAAACCTAAAGAAAGGAAATGTTTTATCAAAACTGAAGGTAAATATAACTTTTCATTTTTATAATGTATTTCATCATCTCGTTGGTGTGCGTCCGTCCTTATTGTGTCTTTCAAAGCTGTGTTTCTTCCATGTCCTTCCTTCCTTCCTTCCTTCCTTCCTTCCTTCCTTCCTCGCTCCCTCTTAAGCCTCACTTCTCTTGAAATGTCGTTTTGTTACACCAGGTATTCGAGAATATGAGCAATAAATAAAGGACAATGGCGGAATCCTGGATATACCGAGTTATCTGTATAAAAGGATTTGCCTTGCATGCCTCAGTACAGACTCCCGGAGTGTGCTATGTCAGAAAAAGCGTCGAAGTGCGAACGGCCATAACTCCAGCACAATGTCACATCTACAAAATGTTTACTAGTTTTATTTCTTCCACGACATGGACTACGATACAGATAGCCCAATTCTACAAAGTTCTCTTTTACTTGATCCCACTCAAGATGATCGAAATGAGAGGGAAAACARAATGAGATGATTTTACATTTTATTTACACATGAAATACCTTTAAGAAARCWTKTTGTAGAAAAAAATGGCAGTTACCCAGGCKTCATTGCGGCACGTTTTAAATTTGCAGTAGAGATGTATTCWATGATTAATGAATTAGATAAGTAATCAACAGTATATTAGTAGYATATATTCACATTGAATTGATGACCATTGATTTAAGAAGTCACTTATTGAATAATCAAGTAAGGTTAGCTGAAACGCACTCACTGACGTCACGATACCATATAAGGTAACACTCTATGACGTGTGGATCATTTCCCACATCGATGACATTTTTATTGAAATATAATTTAAATGTTTCTTGTAGAAAGCGTAATATGATTTAATCTGAAAGTCCAAATGTAATTCTTTTATTTCTTATGTGTCAAATATATTGRCGAGTAACGATTTTTAACACTGTTTAGACTGAATATCAACGCTTAACGCGAATATCCGACGTTTTGAAGTCCTCTAAAAGGCATCCTCAAGGATGGTATTGAAATTTGTGCTTTTTGTCTTAAGCTRAAGACTAGTATAAAAGTATTTAAAATCTACTAAGGTCGCATATTTCAATTATTTACTTCCAAAGGTCGGATATTGAAAGATGTACTTATGTTCCACTATTGTAATATAGTAAGAAAAATACCGAGAGGATTTTCTTGGTTGTGCGCATGATCAGTAGCCTCATTAGACGGATACAACAGTTTTAAATAGGTRGTAGGTTTATTGTCAAAAATCGTTTTTACATAGTTTCATAACAAGAGCTCAATAATCTGAGCATAGTCGTGAAAAATTCAATAACATTTTCTATTGCAATAAATATAACATATATAGTATATATGGAGTGATTGCTCTAAGGCATTTTAACTGCGTGTAGTAATGATATATGCAGTCGTTTAATTGTGAACAATTCTAGTTGGGTGAAAGTATTTCACAGGCTTACAAAAAGCCACATCGTCGAATGAAAAGTAATTTAATAAGGCCTTGTCAGGYGTAAACTTTCTTGGTTCACTGCAATTGTCTCATGTACCATTACGGTTTAACTATTATCTTAGACATATTTTATATTTTTGATAGTATGATACGTTTGAGAACTAATTCTAGTAATGGTAAAGAGAAAAACAAATTACATTGTCCTCAGAGATCTGTTTCACGAGAGTTCCCGCACTATATAAAAAGATGATCACTTAAACGTCAATCAAATGCTGTGATCATGCAGTARGTGCATTGATTTTGAATTGTATTTACATACAAAATGATTATTTTTAAATTGTACCATTAGAAGATAACATTATATAATTCTTCGATTGAAATCATGTCGGATCAAGATTCCGTAAAGAAAAATAGTGCAAAGCTAATGCCACCATGTCGGATGATTTATTCAAAATGGCGGCTATAATTAACATGCAATCCAAGAATTTTACRTGCATGTGACTAACATATATACATACCATATCTAGCTTGGTCATTCACAAAGCACACGAACGAGCATATGCGTAGTCAGAGTAAATTTTGTGCATGAAATTCTACAAATGTATTTCCAACAGAAAACCCGTGTCTTGCAACGTGGTATTCGTGTCAATGAACAGGTTTTCCTATTGTTTCTTTGTGAATAAAAAGTGCTCATATCTGTAATCCTAAGGTATGTCCTTAATTTTCAATCAATCCAGTGGGATCTTAGTTGAGATGTTTAGTTTGTTATTCTTTGTTTACTTTCAAAATGAAAATTTTTTTGTAAAAAAAGTAAATTCAAACATATACTTCCAACTTCGATATTACGTCATTTATAGGTTTCTATCTAGTGAGTCACGTGACCGTGTGTCACGTGACCATGGTTCCTCGATGTGAACAGTTATGGTCAGCTGTACAACTGGGTTGACGTGGTTGCCAAATCGGACTGTGGGATTATGGGTATTAAGGAAACACTGCTTGGAACTTCACGATCATCTAATAAGAGAACGCATGTATATTTAGCWTATTGTATTCACGATGACGTCMCTATCATTAAAATGCTTACCGCCYGATGACGATGATTCTATTCGTTCAACTGCCGCTGACCTGACCAGCGGTTTYTTTGGTAACGGAGMCACTTTGTTKTWAGTAACCGATAAAGTTGAAGAAAGTTTGCTTCTCAAATTRTTTTTGGTTTCAATATCTTCATTCTCATCAAAATTTCTACTTTCTTCTTCGATTCTGTCTACGGGTGTCCTGTGGTTTTGTGGCCGCTTAAGRACTGGGCTTTTTTCTTTGAAAGCTTGGTGAGCTGGTATCAGACTGCTCTTTTTTATATCACTGTCTGAAGAGTTTACTTCACTGGTGCTTGGTGTTGTATGGATTGTGACGTCAGGGTGCTGTTTGACCTGGATTGCTGGTACTGCCTGTTGTGGCATTTTAAACTGAAACTACAAACAAGAAATTAAAACTGAGCTCTAGTTCAAGTCTTGACATAGTGATGGTACAACACAATATAGTACAGTGGTGATCTGTCGTAATGGTGATGCCGATGGCAATGGCGACAGATAGTGCTGATAGCGATGGTTGATCAAAGCCATTGCAATTGCTGTTGATGGTGGCAATGTTGCTGTTGATGGTGGCAATGTTGCTGTTGATGGTGGCAATGTTGCTGTTGATGAGGGCAATGTTGCTGTTGATGGTGGCAATGTTGCTGTTGATGATGGCAATGTTTCTGTTGATGGTGGCAATGTTGCTGTTGATGGTGGCAATGTTGCTGTTGGTGGTGGAGGTAGAAAAGCAAAAGGAGACGCAATTTGGCAATGATGATGATTGTTATGACAACTAATGATGATGATGATGATGATGGCAGAGAATATGTATCATTGTAACCTGTATATCAACATGAGTCCACTGT